CACACACACACACACACACACACACACACACACGCACACACACACACACACACACACACACACACACACATGCGCATGTGCGCGTACACACAAAATTATCTTATATGTTGGTAGGTTGTCTAGTGTTTTGTAACAAATGTCTGAGGAGCAGACTACTTCATTTTCAAAGAATTCATAAAAACCTTCATGCACCAAAATAATTTTCAGTGACCTTTTTATTGATAGATGTTTGTTTATTTGTTTCAGATTAACAGAAAACTTTTGTCCGGAGTCGGTTGCCAGGTAGTGGAATGCACCATATTTCTAGGTTTCCTTGGAAATAAAATAAACAAGTAAGATGCAAGAAAGAGATTACCATTTTCTCTCAGCTAATTTATCAGTTTAAATTGCAAGTATGCAAACTGTTTTACTTTAACATATTAGATTTTATTTCAAATATTGTTACGTACAAAGGTCATGTGAACTGTTCTCAAATGATATGGTAGATGTTTGTGATATGATTTTAACACATATTTATTGCAAGCCATGTCTCCTTTAAAAAGTAAAAAATTAGCACTTAATCTCTGTTTATCTTGACTAACTTTTGTTGCTTTTCCCACTTTTATCAGGCTAGCTGAAGAAGCAGTGAATGTGTTCCTCAACTGTGATAATCAAAAATCAACAAGTGCAATATTTTGCTTCAAAGCTCCAGGTCCCAAGGGGTGAGTCTTCACTCAATCACAGGGGATGTGCTAACGTCATTTGCCCAGCTTTAGGATTAAATTGTTTAGTTTGATTTTTTAGCTTACTGCCTTATTTGGACAGTATTTTACAGTGCCTTAATTTCAGGCATGTATCAGTTGTTACATGTTTTTAATGGTAATAGCACAATTATATTTACGCAGGTAGAATTTTGATTCCAAAGTTTTCTTACTGTATATGTCACTCCTCACATAACTTTGTTGGAAGATCTGAAAGAGGGATCACCATGTCTCTCATAGTTAACTTGTATATTCTAAGAACTTGAGAATGAGATCAGTCTTGTGAGTAGTTAGTATTGCACCTTATTCTCACTGGGAGGACAAGAACCTCCCTCCTCCCCCCCCCCCCCTCCCCTCTTCTGAAGGTTTGCTAACAGCTTGCTTTTTTCTCTAAAGGGTCACCCCTGAAGTGGAACAGATGAAGTACGATATAAGCAGTAAATGCTCTGGTGCTAAGATACATGAGAACTATGATAGTGCAGAGGATGGTGCAAAATGTGCTTATGTTGATATCAAAAGTATTTTAAAGATGGTGAGTATGGTTTGAATTGATATGTCTGAATTTGATTTAATCTATCTATGGCTCTTCATAATCTTATTGAGGATTACAAGGTATACTTAATNCTTGAGAATGAGATCAGTCTTGTGAGTAGTTAGTATTGCACCTTATTCTCACTGGGAGGACAAGAACCTCCCTCCTCCCCCCCCCCCCCTCCCCTCTTCTGAAGGTTTGCTAACAGCTTGCTTTTTTCTCTAAAGGGTCACCCCTGAAGTGGAACAGATGAAGTACGATATAAGCAGTAAATGCTCTGGTGCTAAGATACATGAGAACTATGATAGTGCAGAGGATGGTGCAAAATGTGCTTATGTTGATATCAAAAGTATTTTAAAGATGGTGAGTATGGTTTGAATTGATATGTCTGAATTTGATTTAATCTATCTATGGCTCTTCATAATCTTATTGAGGATTACAAGGTATACTTAATGGTGGGCAGATCCTCATAAGAGGTTACAACTTTTGTAATATTCTCATTATTACTAATAGTTAACTAATAGTTTTAAACAAGAACTTCGACATTCTTGTTTTAAGTAACCTGCTGCAATGACATTTATATACTACAGTTGGAAGTGCATTTTTCTTCAAAACGATAAGTTTCCTTGTAGTCCTGTATGTACTGCATCAGTATTAAAAAAATATCTTAATGTTTTTTGTTCATATAAATATTTTGGAAATGTTTGTATCAACAGAAGATTTATCTTGCAGGAATTGGGTATGGACCAGGATCACTCTGATGCAGATTCAGGTTTCTCAGAAAATGGCGGTCCTGAGCAGCTGTGCGGTGGGCTGTGGGACGTACATGGCCAGTTTGAGCAGATTGAGGCCTTGAACTATGCACTGAGTTCCAACTGCCAAATGGGGTTTGAAAAAGTAAGTTAAGACTGATAGCTATATGATGAATTGAATGAATAAAAATATAGGCTTTGTTTGTAATAGAGGCCCTTATTCCAGTGGAATATTAGAAGTTTAAAAACACCATATTACTGTAGGCATTAAAAAGAATAGATAAACACAATGTCAAAAATTTGGAAGGGTATTTTATGTTGGCTTGATATAAAACTTATCTTTTGTTTCGAAATCCATGCAAGATATAAGCACATAAATAAGGCCATGTTGTTTCAGTACTATGAAAGACTGAACACTCACGTCCAGTCTGCTGGACCACTCCCACCACTGCTGATCTCTGGAGGCTCTGGGCTAGGGAAGTCTCTGCTACTAGCTAAATGGTAATGTATGAATTATGAAATATGTGTATATATTGTAAATATCTTTAAATCATTTTATCCCATCATCTGCATTCAGTACGAATGTTTACCTGAGAAAGTGGTTAGTAATGAGCATCTAATTTGGAACTGAAGTCATATGTGGGGCTCTTGGTTGAATGGGCAAATAATTTACCCTGGTATATTAAATTAGAGATAGATTTAATAGACAGTTTTTTACTTGAAAGAAAGTCCAAAAATCTCTACTCGTCTGACATTTGCATTATGTGTACATGAATATGTTACCATAGAAACCTGAAGTTTTCCATTTCCTCTGCAACTTGGGAGAGAAGGATAATAACATTTCATGATAATTCTTTGAATGATTTCTAAAATGTTACTAAGTAATTGAGAATATATGTTGCATGTTAAAAATTCTAATTTTGCAATTTGCAATCATCAAATTTGCAGGTTAGAACTGCTGCAGGACAAAGCCGAATCATCAGGAACCTTAATTTTGTACCATTTTGTGGGCAGCCAAGACTCCAGTTCTGCTGATCCTATACAAATGACAAGGAGACTGACAGCAAAGGTAATACAAAGCTATATTTTAATATATCATCCTTGATATTTTTAATAGTTGATTTACTACATAAAAGTTAATTATTTAGTCATGAAGGATTTACACACAAGTAATTGGTACAATACATTTTATATAAATCTCACAAGGCCTTTTTAAATGAGCCGTCATGTGATGTACTGCCAAAGATGATCCCGGGCTGCTCTGTGATTGGAGTCTGCAAGATGTTAATTGTGTTCAAACAACCTTGTTCAGTAACAGCTTTATGTAATTTTATTTCTCTGATGCCTATCCTTAAGAACCGTCTGTTTTATTTTATCCAATAATTTTCTTAAATTGTCTGTATAGTTAATGCAGTATGTGTCATCCCCACCAACACTGACCTGTGACCCATCGCGTTTAGTGGAGGAATTCCCTCGTTGGCTTGAAAAGGTGTCCTCAAAACTACCAGGAGGTGTGGTGCTGGCTCTGGACTCTGTTGACAGATTCAGGGTATGATAGACAATAAGTTGCAATCAGAGATTCTTCAAACAACATACCTGGAAGAAAGTGACTTGTGAGACATTGAAAACTTAGAGTGGTAATATCTATGATTTAAAGCAGCTCTTATATATATTACTTCCAAAACATTTTCTAGTAAATATAAACAATTCATGTTGTTCAAATTTTCAAAAGTAATTACCATAAATGCTGTTATATGTTGATTTTGACAATATCTCAAGGGGGAATTTTCTGTTTTAATTTTTTAAGCAAGGAGAACATCACCTGAAGTGGCTTTTAGATCCATTACCAGTGGACTTCAGAGTTGTTGTGACAGTACATGAAGACACTTGTCCTCAGTCATGGAGGTATGAAAAATTTTGACAGAAATAATTGTTAGATGTCATTTTCAACTGAGGCAACAAAAATATCTTCTTGAAGAGTGGCTGTATTATAACACTATTTGAACATGGAACATATAAAGTAATTTTAAAAAAATGTCCTAAGTTGATATTGACTTAGAACAGTGTATTGCAATTAACACTGAAGGATATTTCCTCCTTTTGAGGGATTTCTTCCTTTTAATCAAGAATGGAAAGTTTATAGATATGCTGCCTATTTAATGAAATTAAAAAAAAACAAGGATTTAATGCTTGCTACATGACTAGTGATATTTTCCTTCTTTATTTGTGCTTTTTGCTCCAATACTTGATATTAAGGCTTTTCAGGGTTAAAATTGTTACATGACCACTGCACCAGCTGACACATAAAAAACTGTGTAACATCTTTAATTCTTTATACAGGTCATGGCCTACAGTACATATGGAACCACACAGTAGCAAAAGTGTCAAAGAAATCATAAGAACAGAACTGGCAGCAGTTGAGATCTCTCTGAATGCTGACCAGGAGAGCCAAGTCTTGACCCACTGCAGGACAGCGGCCACCTGCAACCCTCTCTACGTCATGCTGCTGGTCAGCGAACTTACAGGGTAAGCATGCTTTGTTACAGGGTGGCTCATAGGCGTAGGAACATTTACAAGCTTGTCTTTGTGATCTGATGGTTAGTGTGCATGGGTGTTACAGGGTGGTTCAAATAAATTTAGTATACATGTTGTCCACCACATAAAGCACTGTACTAACAGGTTTAGAATCCATGTATAGATATCTATGCACTATGGGTTTGAACAGATAAAGCATACTCTAGACTGATTGGCCCAAATGCATCTGTGCATTGTGCTGCTAATCGGAAATTATGAATTGGTTTGATTGGTTTTTGAAGTATGTATGGTTAAATAGTTTCAAGATACATATCCATAATAAATGATGTACCTGTAGCTGCCTCTGCATTTCTCTATTTAAGTTGCACTGATGAAGGTGGTCTAGATGACACATTGGAGTGGGTCTTGTCCACCAGTAGTGCCACGGAGTTGTACCAGGTCACACTGGGTCACCTACAGCAGCAATATGACAACAACTATGGCAGGGGGCTCTTCAAGAAGGTAATTCTGAAGATGTAGGGCTACCATTTGTGTATTTCTTTACTTACTCTGTATTTTAACAGTAGAAAATGTATGCAATGGCAAAATCTACATTTGCATTTGGAAATTTATGATTGACAAAGTCTTTTTTGGGGGGAGTTTGTTTACAGTCATAGTTAGATCTCATATTTTACTTAAAAATTTATGTAATGACATATATCAATTGAACATTTCTAGGTATGCTAGCAAAAATACTTTTGTCATGGTTGAAAATCTGGTAAAATTGCTATTAAAAAGCATAAAATCATAAAACAAATTTACTAAGATAAGGAGATGTCACTTTTAAAAACTGTATGAGGGTAACATTTCATAAACTAGGTGCTTCAGTTCATATATGCCAGCAGGAATGGCATGGGTGAATGGGAGCTGATGGAGCTCATCTCAGACCTCACCTGGAATAACTGGGTGGTCCTTTATAAAGACCTAGTGGACAGACAGGTGGTCACTCACAGGGGAGGAGTCTTGACCATTGTCCATGAGCAGGTAAGGCGAAGGGTGTGGTTGATATAATATAGGCAGTAATTACTCTATGGTGATTACTCGGATCTTTTTAATGGGAGAAAAGTGTGAATTTTACAGATACTGTATTTTTAAGTCATAATTTCTTAAAATTAGAACATTTCTATTGAGTGACAAGGGTGGGGGAATAATATTAAAAAGCAGGCTACTTTATGCAGTAAAAGCAACACAGGTGCTATATAGAGATAAACCTTTGTGATTAAAAAATTATGTATCTGAAAGTTAGATAAGTTTTGTCCACTGATTAAAAAATTATGTATTTGAAAGTTATATAATTTTTGTTCATTCAAAAGATCAAGTCATAACTGTATATGTGCAATGGAATATCAAATTAAATTATTTGCTTTGATTACTCTGTCCATGAGTTGTTAATTAGATAATAAGCTTAAATCCTATTTTGATCTCTCAACAAATATCTCTGAATTTGGTCCATGTTGAGATACTTTTATATTTTTTATGCTTTTATAAATTTACTTTATACTTTATTGTTAGTTTTTAATTTATCTTTGTAGTTTGTTTTAATATGTAAATGTAAACAGTGCTGAGTTGAACATGTAGCACAGTTTTAAGAAATGTATAATAATTATAATTATAAATATTATATCATTATTATAATTATTGCAAAGATGGGATGGACCACGTATGCAATAAGTTCAGAGTAGGTGCATTAAAAGCTGTTAAGCATTGGTTCAGATCTCTACTTAACCATTCACTGCCTTTATTTAATATCTTTTCATGTTTTAGGCTCGTGAGGCAGTCAAGGCCATGTTTTTTTCAGGAAGTGAGGAAAAGTCTCTAGATAAAACCAGAGAGGTTTTAATTGGTCATTTCTCAAAATGTTTAAAGTAAGTTGTATTTCTTTTCTGCCAAATTTAGCTTTTGTAGTGTAGAATTTGAGATAAAAAATTAAATCAATATTTGTGGATTTTCCAAAAAGACATTTTTATTTCATTACATGATTAAAATAATTCCATCTTGCAACAAAGTTTTGTAATTTGTTGTTATTAATGTTTGAAATAAGCTCACTGTTTGTAATTAGTAAACAAATACCACACATCCAAGCAGTTGGTAGAAAACTGGACAAGTCTGATACTTTTTTCTCCATTTCCAGACCAGGAAAAGTGAATTTTAGAGTGGCTGATGAGTTGCCATGGTTGCTGAGACAAAAAGAAGATAAGCAAGCACTACAAGAATGTCTGTCCAATATCTGTGTTTTTCAGATGCTGTATGGAAGGTATGTGTTTGATTTCTGTTGAAAAAAGATATGTTTTGACTCTATATTCTATGCTTGGAGTACCATTCCCCCTTGTAATTTACCCTCATGACTTCCTCTTGATTTTTACCCTCATGACTTCCTCTAAATTAATATATAGAAAGTTTGTCATTGCAATTATTGAAGTTTGTTTCTTTTATATGTCTGAGAAAGATAGATTGACATTGTGATGTGATTGAATAGTTTGATGGATATGTGTGAAATTGATTTTGCATTGTTTCTTGTATAATATGTTAATTGTGTTGATATATATATATATATATATATATATATATATATATATATATATATATATATATATATATATATATATATGCGCGTATCATTTCTAAAGAGACTAAACCTGTTTTTCACATTACATCAGTCAGTCATGGTCTCAAAGTGATGAATTGGTGAAACACCATGTCTCAAAGGTAGAAGACACAATTTATCTTTTTAGAAACAATTTATTTTTTTGTCCACATTAACTTAAAATTTAAGTATATCTGTGGCATTCCAGGGGTCACTGTGCCGAGATCCTGTCTCTCTGGCAGTATGTAGGAATGGACAGAACTGCCATGGTCCAAGCTTATTTTGCCATGAACAAAAAGGTGGAAGAAAGTGAGTAAATTTTTTTTCACTAGCTTTAAACATCTTTTAAAAAGTGGAAATGTAAAAGGAGTGTGTTTATAGGTATGTTTATCTTATTATGTATTCAGAGAACAGGAGCGGATATTTTTTTAAAATTTCATAGTGAACAGTTGATCTAGATGATGAGAGAGGTTGTGATAGAAAAAAAATCAGTTGCAGTAGGTTATCACTATCTCAAATTATCTTATCTAAAGGGCAACTACTTAATTTCAGTGGACATTTTGAATCTCACCAAAGTAGCAGACATGTACGAGACCTTGGGAAGGTTCTGCTGTGACCTGGGTCTACTGGAGCAAGCTTTAACTCCCCTACAGAGGGCGCTGGAGATCAGAGAGGGTGCTGACCCAGACCACCCCAGTGTGGCTCAGTCTCTCCATCATCTTGCTGGACTCCATGGTCAGTGGGGGAAGTATGCCACTGCAGAGGCTCTCTACAAGCAGGCTCTGGACATTAAGGAGAATGCCTTTGGGCCTGAGCATTACTCGGTGGCCGTGGAGCTGGATGCTCTTGCTGCACTGTACAGGAAACAGGACAAGTGAGTGGCTTTTGATCAGACCAGACCTTTTTACTTTTCTAACTTTGATTAAAGAATCAACATCCTTTCTGGGTCCCGTAGTACAATACGGTTTGAGAGTAAAAAACGTATATATATATAATACTTTACATGCAGACAAGTAGCTGATCATTGAGCATTCCTGCTGCAACAAAAGCAATGCTTGTGCCTCCTTTCTATGACCACAGCAATGCCAGTTTCATGGCTGCACAAAGGATGCCATCCAGTATAAAGGAGGTTTCATCAATGATGTTCTGTGAATGCCTCTCTCTGAATTCATTTCAGCCTTTTAACAATTGAAATGGGTGTGTACTATTCTGTCCAACATTTAATATGTCTGGTTTGTTTTCAGGTTAGATCTTGCAGAACCAGTGCACAAGAGAGCTGTTTCAATCAAATCCAAAACCAAAACATCAAGGATTGCTCCAGTTAGTTGAGCTTAGATAAGATGAATATAATACATGCCATAATTTAAGAGTCAGAATTTGAAGTCCAGTGATTTTATTCAGAAAGTTGAGTTACGTTTCTTCAAAGATATAAATCAGTTATTGTACACAAACCACTTTTTATTTAGATTATGACGTTGACATTGAGAAGGTGGTCATTGATAATTCACTCTTCTGCAACTGGTCACTTCAGAGTCCACTGAATGCTGGTGTCCAGAGAAAGAAGGCACTGAAGTTAGAGGACCTCACTATGAATGCAGACTCTCCTGAGCTGGCCAGGACACTGAATGAACTGGGAGTCCTATACTACTTGCAGAATAACCAGGAGTAAGTTGAACTGAAATTGTTTGAATGTGGGATGTCAGTTTTGTTAGGAAGTACAATGAAACAATGGCTTACAAATTTCAAGTTTGCTGTTACTGAAATGCTGACTGCAGTGTGTGTTTTCACATCAAATTTTTTTTGGTAAGTTGAATGTGCATCAGATGATTATGTTAGTAAATATCCTGCTTAGAAGAGTATCTATTAGACGTATTAGATATATTTCTTAAATGTTTGCTGATTTGCTTATAGGGCAGCAGAGTCATTTTTCAAGAAATCTCTGGCAATGAGAGAGGCTGTGTTGGGCAGCAGTCACACTGATGTAGCCCAGTCCCTGTACAATTTGGCTGGCCTGTACACTGATAGGAAGCAATATGATCTGGCAGAACCTCTCTATGAGAGAGCCCTGCATATCAGGAGACAGGTAATTTAAACCAAAGATAACTCTAATGTGTAGCTGCAGGAAATGATAGGGAATGCAAGCAAGAGAGGTCATATGGGAAAATAGCATATTGGCCAGTTGGGTAATGTTGGTTGTTTTTAACTGTTTGAAGAAGATCATGTCTGTGCATCAAATATAAATTGATTATTTCAGCCTGCTTAATTTTTTATTTTATTTTCAGCATTTCCCAGCAGAACACCCTAATGTTGCATCTGTGGTGAAGCATTTAGTGGTGCTGTACAAAAAGCAGGTGGGTCTTGTGAAAAACAATTTAGTGAAAATGAATATTTGGAGATGCAGATATTCCTGTGTCCATGCATCTAGCTATCAGCAGAATTGGAAGTTCATAGTGAGTTTCAAATGTGTGGTCAGCGATGCCAATGAAGATCCAAGATATGCACATTTATATTCAACATATATGAAAGAATAGCCTCTGAAAACAAGAAAAAAAATAGTAGTAATTTGTTGAGTATTGTGTGCACAGTAAGTTTTGGCAGCTTAGTTAGACCACATTGAAGATGGTGGTATTTGTCATGAATTTAACAACAAATCTAGGAATTGGCAATTGCAATTTCAGGACAAGATTGAGAAAGCTGAGCCCCTGTATGAAGAGACCATCCAGATGCGTGAGAGATCTTTTGGTGTAAATCACCCATCAGTTGCCACAGCTCTGGTGAACTTAGCTGTTCTTCACTCACAACAGGTAAGTAAAAAAAATGAAGAAAAGAACCTTATAAAAGGAATTTAAAAATGTGACAGTACTTTGGTAATTTTGATTTTTTTATAGAATTGTTGCAGTGATCATAATTAGCTTGTTTCATTTTGACAAGGTTAGTATTTAAATCTATTTGAAATGAAATTTTAAAATTAATTACAAAATAGATTTAAAGAGGCTGATATTATTTGCACCGCATTATTTTTGTGCCCAATGCCCTCTCTTTTTATCTAATAACTAACTATTTTGTTATAACTTTCAGAATAAGTACGATGCTGCACTGCCACTGTATGAGAGAGCACTCGGCATTTATGAGCAAAGTTTGGGTTTGACACACCCAAGGGTGGCAGAAACTCTCAGGAATCTCGCAAAATTAAGATATGATCAGGTGAATTCTAATAACTCGGTCTCTTCCCCACTATTCCTCCTCAACAGCAAAGCCCTAAGCATCCTAGTTGTAGTGACTGGTCACTTTTGGGTACAATGAGTTTCAGAGGCACTGGAATCTCTCCTTTTTGGAAACAATAGAGGCAGTGAGATTGCAGTGTCCTCTCTTTTTGTAGCATAAGTGTTTCAAACAATTTACAAATTTGAGAATAAGTTTTGAGTGAAAAGCTAGATCTCTACATGTTAACAATATCTGTAATTTTTTATTCATAGAAAGGTTTTGTATCATTGCTCAGAAGAAACAAATATTTTTCTTGCCCATTAAATTCATAGACAGAAACATAATTTTGAAATCATAAATGATTATATTTTTACATAGCATATGTGGTGTTTTTACTCCAAAGGATAAAACTATAGGGTTGCCAGATTTTCAGTTTTGTTGCTACCACTCGTTAATAATTTTCTCATTTGAAGAATTTATGGAAAAAAAACTGTGTATGTAAAATTCCATATTTTTCCCACTGAAAAGATTGAGTCATTACCATATCTCAGCATGTAACCCCACACCTCTCTGAATCAGTAAATCTACTAAACTGACTAGTGGGCTTTTACCTGTATTTTTTTCTTTGCTGCACTAAATCAGATTGTCAGAATGCAATTTCCTTTGTTTGCTTCAGGGAGATTTCGAAACAGCAGCCAAGCTATACAAGAGAGCCACTGAAATTAAGGAAGGAGAAATGCTGAAAGGTTCAGGAAGAAGTTCCAGTGAGGAAACTGCATCAACCATGAAAAATGGGGTGCAGAGGTAGTCTAGTCATATTTGCAATATTACAACTGCAATACTGAACTGCTGATAAGGAACATTACTGGAACAATACCACTATGTAACTATAATTAATGTTGGATTATGGGACACTTGTCCGCTCTCACTCAAATCAAAAAAAGCCATCAGTCATTGTAAATGGCTGTTGCCCATGTTGCGCAATCCTGGGACAGGAATTTGAAGACTGATGCATATCAGGGTGCTCTTGGATTAGCTCATATCTGGGTGACTAGAAACTACTTTACAAGGTCATAGTTTTGCTGCTGATCACATTTTCTATGCAGAGATCTTCTTGCTCATCAAAATCTTAGATTGATGACAGGTGTTTTTATTCTTAAAGAAACATGAATGACATCCATGATTTACACTCTACCTAACAGGCTTATTTGATATTTCAGAAAACATGGAGTTATGGAGTTATTAATTTATTTGTCTAACAAGCACTGCTTAGAGATATAAAAGCTGTGGCATTCCTTGGCTCCTGTTAATTTTCATTAACATAATAAAGCTCTTAGAAATGCTGCAGAAATGATAACCCACCAGTATAATAAATCTTTTTATTTTTCTTCTGATCTGGTTTCCTCTGTTGTTTAAAAAAAATTACAATGTTTTATATTACTTTAACGATAAATTTATCACAGTTGGAGTATTTTTTAAGATAATAAATTGCCATTCACATGAAATGAACCTTTTTGCAAAGTTGCTCCCATTAATTTTTTTTTTTTTTTTTTTTTTTTTTGTACTTGCCCATTTCAAGACAGTGTTAAGTGTTAAAGGGATAATAACTCTTCGTTTTGACCAAAAAATGAATTTTCCCGGAGTAAACAACAATTTTCCCATATTTACCAATGGTTAATGAATCTATTTTTACATTCAAAGTTAGTCCCTGTTTTTTTTTCTAAAAAGTTTGGTTTTTTGTTAAAATATCTTAAGAGATTTTATCAGAGTATAGCCATCAATGGAGGTCATGTGGTCAGATAGCAGAATAATAGCTATAACTGCCGTTTTTGTGGTAAAACAGAATATATTATATTTCTATGAGTTATTCATGTTTTATTGTGAAATATAGATCTCATACGAAGAGTTATTATCCCTTTAACTGGCAGTTTTATGAAAATATGCATTATGCGTATTCATCTTGTTAAAACTTTTTAAAGGAAAGCTCAGTGATTTACATTGGCTCTTTGTATCTGTATTTTAATTATGACTCAGACGGAAGGAATTAAATGCATTTGCTGCCTTCATTGACAATTTTCTATTTCAGTTTAGACTTGAACAAATTATGTGAAAAAAACCCAAATTTTGCCTTTTTTAAATCAACCTGTAAAGCTTCACATAATTTAAACGAGAAAATGTGGTTTTGGATCAATGTCAAAAATTTAACATCAATAACTATCCTATAAATAATCCCATTTTTTTAATTTGGCCATTCTTTTACCAAACAGTAAAAACATACAAAGAACTTTATTGCAGGTCTTTATTGCATTTATCATCACCTAAAACAGAATACTAACAGCGACTTTCTTTTACATAGTGCTTCTCCTTCACCATTATGTTAGTGAAAACTGAACAAGCACATTGTAAACAAAGGCAAGCTTGCAGTGAGTGAAATTAAGTCACGAGGATGCGAAAAATTGAAATGTCTCATTCTTTCTCAAAATTTTTTACTTCCTACAACTACTCGTACTACTACTGATGATTGTACTGGCATTTTATGGCATACCTTACCAACATTTTCAACAATAAACTGGTCATAAATAAATACTTGAATAACCATGATAAAAGTTCAAGGTCAATTAGTACTTATATGATAAATGAGGATGCTGACATTCACTAATTACATGAAAATGGTATAAATAGTACAATTTAAAACTTTGCTAATACACAGGCACAAGTTAAAATTGTGATATACAACACTAGTCAACTTTGAAATCGTTAATAAAATCCATTGCATATGTATGAGTTCACTCATGAAGTTGATGAAAATGAGTTACAATCTACCAACTCTCCTAAAAAGGTAGCATTCAATGCTACATGTTGAACAAATCACAGATGTTAGACGGTAAAAACAGCATTTTATGCTTCTCCCTTTTTTATGCTTTACAATGCAGTGTTGAAGTTAATTGCGCTGGTGGCTAAACAGCCATGCAAATAGTACCATTGTAATGAAACCATATCCTTCAAGTACACAAATATTGAGTGAAAACCCTGGTGCAGTTTGACAAAAACTCGAAAAAACAAATTTACAAAAATAATTTTCCAATGTTTGTTATTAAGGGAAATTCTAATCTCAACAAATAGGCACCATTTAAAACAATCCTTGTGAAAACGGATATATCACTAATATTTCAGACTTCCAGTCTATCTATTTGATCCGACCTGGTGAACATACCAGGCAACACATTTATAATCCTTGTGAGAAAATGGACGTCAGCAGTAGCTTATCTTGCAAGGCAAATTCTACTTCCTTCTCATCCAGCTTTAGGCTAACCTGAAAAAAAAAATTCATTTTAATTGTTAGAACACGTTTCACTGTCCAAATTGTATTAAGAAAAAACAGCAAAGAAAAAATATTTTTAATTACTGTTTTATATTTTATTTTATTTTTAACATATAAGGCCTAAGAAACTCTAACCAGCTCATAAGACAAAAGTAAATACACAGTACACACCTTTGTCATCCTGGTCTCTTTTGTCTTCTTTAAGCCAACAATCCCTCTGGTTTCCAGAAGTGTACACAGACTGAGGAATTCACACTGATCTGAACTGGTCATTTGTTTCTTCTTACAAATCTTTGCATACGAGTCGTGTAGCTGAAACAAAAACAAGTTCAGATGTAACAAAGTAATTAATTTGGTTTTTTTTGTCATGTTACTTCCCTCAAATTGAATCTTGTGCATTTGTTTTCATGAATTCAGATTAAAATCTTAAGTACAAAATGAAATCTGTTCATCAGGAAATCATTTAATCAAACCTCTTAGCATTTAATAAGTAGCCACCATGCAATTGTGTTCACAAAGAATTTTCCTTACCTTTCCCAGTGTCACCTCTTTGTTCTTGGTTTGTTTTGTAAGCAACAGCAATGTGCAGACAACAATTTTCTGTTGCAGAGGGATGGTCTGTTGTTGCTCCCCCTGGGGATTGGTAACCACCCTTGAACCGTAAACATCTGATACAACATTTGCAATGTCTGCCACTCCTACTTTTCTGCGCACTGGGGGAGTTTTTCTTGGACTGTTGCTGTCTAGAAGTATAGAAAAAATATTTATTTTTTAAGTTTTCACTGAAGAACATATCACTGAGATGGAAAAAGTACTGTAACTGCCTTTCTTAGAACTTCTTTAGCTTATATTAAAATGCAAAACGGTGATTTTTTTCGTCTTTAAAATGTTTAATAATTTTTTTCTTTCTAAACTATCAATACTAAAACCAACCTGAAGGTTTGAGTATGGTCTGCCTCTTGACCTGTGACTCGACCACCTCCACTGCCCTCCTGCAGACGTCCAGTGCCTTCCTCATGTCTCCGGCCACAGCGGACACCTTCCTGGCACAGAACTGGACCGCACTGGGGTCAACAAGTGCACCATCATCTTGACCAACCTTTATAAGAACACGCGGAATTTAAAATTACACAGAAAAATACAAAATGGGCCTGGTTGTAGCTACCTATGTATATAGGAAAAGTTCATTAAATTGGACACATCTAAAACAGGCACATCCTAATGAGCTGTAATCTTAATAATTTATTATTATTATTATAAAATAAAACTTTCATTAGTTATCCCTTGGGACTTTGAAAACTAATAACATGTTTGCTTATATTTATTATATTAAAATAAATAATGATATTATTTTCTTAAAGAGCAATACTCATAATTTGTAAAGTTAAGTCATTTTTATTATAGCAAAACCTTACCTGCTTTAAGCGGTCCTGTATTATATCTGTGATTTGCTGACGAGTATACGGGGCAAAATTGAGCAACTGTGGCTTGCACTTTGGATGTGCTTGAAGGCGAGGCAGAATACGATCTGTCAGGTCTAACGCATTAGCAATACCTGAAAAAGAGAGTAGAAACATTAATTATTTCATCCATAATGAGCAAACTCTGACTGAACAGTTTTGAAGAGTCTTAGTTAAAACTTTTACTTCTGATATGTAGAAGATAACCCATAAACAAAATGTCTGTTAAGCTTTAAATAAAAGGATCACTTACCAATTAAAACAAGTCTTGAATTTTCCAGCGCAGGCCACTCAAACATTGTATACAATACATCCTGATTTTTACTGTCTAACTGATCGATCTCATCCAAGATCAATAGCCTAAATGAATGAGAAACAAGGACTTATTTATCATACTTCATTTCTTAAAACGTACACACATGACCATAATAAGCATTATGACAAAATTTCAACAGCTGTGTCACTGATCACAATTAGACTCCAAATTCTAACAATGAAATAAACAAATAAAATAATAGAAAATAAATAAATTTGTAATTTTTTGTTATATGAAGTAACATATCTAGTCATGATTTACAGGGAATTGTCTTCTTTCTACTTACACCATGGGTCCTGAAGAAGTCAGTTGTTTTTCTAAGTGTCTTACAGATTCCTTCACAGTTTTCTGTACAGACTTTCCTTGCAACTCGCTCGCAACCTTGTTGAATATGGCAGCAGAATTCTTTGCAGTCATGCAATTAATAAATATGGACTTGTGCTTGGATTTTTCCTGTAAAAGCAAAATAACAAGAATATTTTTAACGACAAAGAACCACAATGAAAACACTTGCAAAGCCTTAACGCCATCCGTATTTGACTAGCACTCTATCATAAATACATAATATTTATATATTATATAAATCAGTTCATTAATAAATTTGAAAACAATACCTTACCTTGTAGGTGTCCATGACACTTGAGAGCACAGCAGTCTTCCCTGTTCCTGGAGCACCAGACACATACAGACTCCCTGACACCTGGCCTAACAGGTGCTTTGTTAGGAACTTGTCAATGGTGGCAGTTTCCTTCTCTCTTCCCACTAACCTCTCTGGTGCTGCAGTGTGGAGAACCTTCTTCACTCGCTGGTAACAACGACCTGTTAGGGAAAACGAGTTTTGCAATAATTTTTTTTTGTAGTGCAGGCAAAGTTATTGTAATACCAATGACTGTCTATCCTTTTCCCTTTTGAATAAAACTTCTACAGTTTTATAAAACTGATTATATATTCTGTAATTTTATCCCAACAATGATATTAGTTATGATATTTTCATCATGACAAATACAGAATTGCACTACCTTATAAAGAGCTGGTAATGATATGTCTTATTATTTTAAGTACTGTTAGATACTCAGATTACATTTAAAACTTAATGCAACATGGTATCATACCTTCTTGCCTGCAAATTTTGATAGGAGAAACATGCTGATCTTTGGTGTCATCATCCTGAAGAAGACGTTTTCTTGGACTTGGTACATTCTCCTTCTTGCACGAGTTGCTGGTCTTTACAGGGGTTTTCAAAGGACTATTGACTTTCACAGGAGTTTTCAGTGGACTTCTGATTTTTATAGGAGTTTTTAAAGGACTACTGACTGCAATGGGGACTTTCAAAGGGCTGGTTTTCATGGGAGTTTCTCTAAGTGACCTCTTCCTTGGACTAGATTCATTTTCTTTTGTAGAAGCACTGCTGAGCTTCAGCATGGATTTTGCAGGACAATTAACATTTGTGAAATTCTTTAAGGCAGTACTCTCTTCTAAAGTTCTCTTCCTGGGGCTCAAGACATCTCTGTCAATCGCAGATGTAATTTTTACTGGACTGTTAAGGCTGCTGATTTTTACAGGGCTTTTCAATGGACTTTTTATCAAGCAAACTCGTGGTTCCAATTTCAATGGAGTTTCAGCAGAATGTGCATTTTCACACTGCTTGGTCTTCTTTGTCCTTCTTGTTGACCTCCTGCCAGTAACAGGCGCCTTCACATCTGAAATATGAAAACAACAGACCTAAATGCATACCAGTTTTACAATAAAAATATTTCAAAGGAACTAAATTATACTGTCAAAACACTTTTAGAAAATTTTACAGCTGCACAATAATAATAATAATAATACACACCTGACTTCACTTGTACTGGATTAACATTAGGATCTGGCACCTCTTTTGTTTCAGCAGCTGTGTCAGTTGTCTTTCCCCTCAGTCGACTGCTCTTCCTGACAGGAAACTCAAGCTTTCTCTGGCATGCTCTAGTGGCCATACTGTCACAGTCCAGCTGGGATAAACAAAGAGGTTTTATTTAGATGACAACTGTGTTATCAGGATGGACAGTATAGTATGGACTTCAATGTGCAGAGATTGCTAACAAAGTAGTACCCTTATCCCTCGCCCTGATTTTTTAAAGGAATCTTTTTCATTCGTAGAAACAAACACACTAAATTTGTGCCTGCAATACCATTACATAACCCAATGAAGTATCAATAATTCATACACCAACATTTAAAACAAATTTGAAGACATATACAGTAAGTCTTTCATTCAGGTAAATTTGGAATGTAAGTGATGGAATCTTACTGTCAATTTTTTAAAAGATTGATGAAAAATTGTAAGTTATGAACGAACTGCCGCACCAGAACAAAAGTTAGATTGTAGAAATTTAAGGGATCATTCTCCCCTTCAAGCTACTAAGATTGAATTATTTTTCATAAAATATGATAATAAATAAATAATAAATATGATATACAAGGTAAGATATTAGTTTGGTAAGTTGCTTAGTGATCACATTCCGAGTACTTTTCAAAGCAAAAATTCAATTTCAAAGCAAAAATTATTTCAAGACAAAAAGCAATTTCAAGTGCTTTCCAATGCTATTTAACTAAATTCTAGGACCCAAAGGCAATTACAGAGCTGAACTCAAGAACTTTTCATTCAATGCTTGTATAAATCCTAGCTCAGTAAGTATCAATTGAAATGGGTCATTTTATGTGATTTTAGATTCACCAACTGATCAACCAAGCCTAAAATAAGTGCAGAATGTATCACAGAGCACAGAAACTTTTGTCAGCAATGTGTTGAACACATAGTTATTTACGAGGCCTCGAAGGTCAACAACACAATGCTGGTGTTGTCTCTTTAAATCGGGCAGTTTTTAAATTTCTACAAAAGCGTAATACGTACACCCAAACTTCCATCGATGTGCAAAAAAAAGGTCCATTTTAGTGAAACTACGATCATATAATATACTACTCACCACTAAATCCAAAGTTTTGAGTCATAAATTCACCAGTGTTTAAAAGGTTGCATTCGTCGCTGTTTACAACCCTACAGCTGAATATTCGCGGGAAGTTGTGCGATGCTGTAAACTGATTGGCTAGCAATTCGGACGTGACGTCAGGCGCGGGAATCCTACATACAATAGCACGCAAAAATCTTAAACATGGGAAGAATGTTTTTCGCAACGAAATATATCTAGATATTCTTTACTGGGTACATATTGATATAATGTAGAGTTTTTAGTCTATTTTAATAATATAAGTTCTATTTGATAAAGTTGGGCTATCATGGTTTTGGCTCGCAGCAGTTCCTACATCCGGCTGTCTGTGCGTCCTCGAAAACGTAGTGCAGGGTAGAAGGCATCATTGTGGTAGGATTTAGCTTCGTGAAATGGCACACAGGTAAGATTACAATAAGTATATCGTCCGCAATAATGTCGATGATGATCACTTGTCCGACATGGACAAATTTAAGCGAAAAATATTTTGATTATTACTAGATTTTTAATTGAATTCGCATTGACACATTTGAATGTTAAAAGTTGATTTAAATTAAAATTTGCCTCCTAGTCTAACTACTTCTGGATCTCGTATACCTTTGTTACATACCAGGTAAATTGTCCAATGTTTTTTTTTCAGATTCAGAGGTGGCAGCACAGGCAGTGATGAGTCCAGCAGTGATGAAGATGACAGGAGAGGGAGGATGCTGAGGAGTACAATATCAAGTATAAAGGTGGGTACCCGCTTTCGCAGACACCTATATGAAAGGGAAGTGTATGCATCACTTACAGCTTAGATTGACTGCATGTGGTTGCAGACAGCTAGGTGTGCAGTTCGTGAACTGTAACGAAGAAGTGAAGAAAATTGAGCGTTTTTAACTGGTAATTTTAATCCCTAAAATGTCATTACATTTATTTCAGCAGACTGTATGGTATGGTTAAATGCATAAAGCATCATTTCTTTGATAATTGAGTAAGTTCTCATTGGCCTTGAAATAGCGGTTAAATTCCAACTTGCCATTTCCCAATGGCTTTGCAATTTATTTTTTGATATCCAGGCTTTTTCCCTAGCAGGCAGTTTTAAGTTGCTGCCATTTATCAAGGGAGATTTCTTGTCATAAGTTAGAAAGGAAAGTGAAAAGTGCTTATGTCACTTACATTTGAATGTTTTTTTTTAATTCGTTGTCTAGTATATGAACATTGGCATTTGAATATTCAGAACATTGTTGAATTACCCCTTTTTAAGAGAAGTGAGAAGTTTTTTTATGAAGAGTAATGCAGATGTTTTGTACAGTTTTCTTTTCCTTCTTATTGAATGATGTTATTATGGTATATTTTATCTAATCGTAGAGACCATCGCCTAAAAAGACAGTCGATGCAACTCCTCCAAGGTAAGGATATTAACTAGCTGGAGAGATGGAATATTTATCTACATAGTAACTTCATATTTTCATAATAATTGTTGTCATATTTGGTAGTGAGACTGTAAGAATCATGTTACTTTATTTCAAACTAAGTACTGCAGGAGAAACAAACTTGATATTTTTTTTACAAACCAGTTCTGTGTATTTAGTACAATGTTTATATTGGATAATATATAATGGACAATATAGTGTATAATACTAGTGATAACCAAGTGCTTTTAATGACATGTAGGTCAAGATCAGGGTCAGTTGAAAGTGGAGAGAGATCCGAAAGTGAATCAGAACAGAGGAAACATGATGCAAGGACACCATCAGCCTCCCCACCACCTACCAAGAGAAAGAGGAGCAGGTCAAAATCACCAGACGAGGAAAAACACAAAGACGATAGAGATAAAAGTAAGTCCCCAGACCAAGACAGGAGGAAGAGGGATCGAAGCAGAGACAGGTATAGAGATCGTGGAGATTATAACCACCACAGGAAGAGGTCACATTATGACCGGGATTCCAGGAATAGATATGACAATAGGCGGGAGGAGGACAGATATAATGACAGAAGGGACAGGTATTACGACAGACAGGATCACCACAGGGATAGAAGAGATGACAGGGAAAGCAGGAAAAGAAGGCACGATGATGATGAAGATAGCAGAAGGGACAGGAGGAAGAGGAGGAGTCCACGTGAGGAAGAGGATGATAAAGAGAATAAAAGGGACGAAGAGAAAAAAGGGAGAGACAAAGATTCCGGGTTAGTTTACTATTGTGGAATTTATAATGAAATATGATAAACAGGAAACTTGTAATTATTACTGAACTGAATTCAAATATAGCTGTAATCTTATGTGTTAAGACATTTATCACATTTAGCTTATTGAATCTATAAATTATTGACCAAAAATGAGGTTGGCAGTGGTATTTAGAGACAAAATTTCCATTTCATAATATCTACATTTAATAACTGTTATTTTCAGGGAAAATACAGTGGCCACAGGCAACAGTACTGACACTCCACAAAATCCTCCACCAGCAAAGAAGTCCAAGGACGACCTGTTGAATACAAGAACTGGTGGAGCCTATATACCTCCTGCCAGACTGAGGATGATGCAGGCTCAAATCACTGATAAAAGCAGGTATGGAGGATAGTGTTCTTGTTTTGACCACATGGACTCAGACTGTCTAACAAAGACAATTCAGCGGTCATTTTGCATTGTAAAATTCCCTTCTTTATTTTTTTTCTTTTCTTACCCCCACCCCCTCTAATCACCAGGAATACCCAGACAACAGTGCTAGTCTGCTGATATACTTACTATACTGCATGATACTCTGTGCAGCCCTTTCTTAGTAATTATAAAAATCTTTTATTAATTGAAAAACTTGAGTTAATAAACATTGACTGGTGTGATTCTATGTTAAATAGCAGTTTAAAATCATTTTCAGTGAACAGTATCAGAGGATCTCATGGGAGGCATTAAAGAAAAGTTTGAATGGTCTCATCAACAAAGTCAATGTGTCAAATATTACTGAGATTATCAGAGAGCTTTTCCAGGAAAACATCGTGAGGGGGAGGTAAGTTAAAAATGGAAAATATTATTATTGCACCTTATAATTACTATAGCTGATAGATCAGCCTTTGGTTTTAACAATCTTTTAAGTGAATTAGAGTAAAAAGTTATTGTTGAACACGGCTTAATAATTTCCCTTTTGTTATTATTATCATATTAAAGGTTATTGTTCGCTTAAGAATTATCAGAGCTTTTTCATGTCAATCATTTTATGAAGGTAAAATTTATACAATTTCAATGTTTTTAATGTCAGTCATTTTATGAAGGTAAAATTTATACAATTTCAGGGGGCTTCTTACTCGTTCCATGATCCAAGCACAGGCAGCCTCCCCCACTTTTACCCATGTCTATGCAGCACTAGTAGCAATCATCAATACTAAGGTTAGAAGAACAGTGAGAATTAGCAGAGGCTTAGAAGTTATACATATGTAATTTTGTAATGTTGAAGTGAAACTTTTTGTTATCTTGTGGAAAAAAAATTATCTGTTGGAAATTGTAGGTGAAGTGACAGTGGTTAGCTTGGGTTTGTATCTCCAAGTTTTCACTTGGGATGTTTTGCATGTTATTGAGAGTCCTCTAAATAATTTGTTGAGCACTAAAGCACTATTTTATATTTTGTTTAGCAAATTCATTCCTTGAGAGCAGATGTGTAAGGACTGATGAATTAAATGGAAACCTTCATTTATTAATGAACAATTTTGAAACCTCTTTTTATTTTCTAGTTCCCAAATATTGGTGAGCTCATATTGAAGAGGTTGATTATCCAGTTCAAAAGAGGTTTTCGTAGAAATGACAAGAACATCTGCCTTACTGCTACCCGGTTTATAGCTCATTTGGTTAACCAGCAAGTGGTAAGTATTTATATATATATATATTAATTTGTGACTTGGTATTAACCACTCATGTTTTTCCTTTACTATACACAAGAAGTAATAGTGCTTTAAAATTGCTTTAGTTTTTTTTCCATAGGGTAAATATACAGGTCATGTTAAAATGGGTATGATAGGCTTCATTGTGAATCTTATTCCCTCTTCAGGCCCATGAGGTAGTGGCACTGGAGATCTTGACACTTTTGCTAGAAAATCCAACTGATGACTCTGTGGAAGTGGCCATCAATTTCCTCAAAGAATGTGGCCAGAAACTCACTGAGGTATCACCACGTGGAATCCATGCAATCTTTGAAAGGTTGCGCAATGTTTTACACGAGGGAAGCATTGACAAGCGCACACAGTACATGATAGAAGTCATGTTTGCTGTCAGGAAAGACGGCTTCAAGGTATTCTTATGTCTTTCTCAAACATATAAAAAAATTAGATTGCTTTTTTGGTGATTTTTATTTTAATTACAGTGATTTAGACTGAAAATGTATGTGTTTTGGTATATTGATGACAAAGTGATACCTTCATTCTGTTAAATGAAAATTAATTCATATCCTGATGGGGTAAGCTCTCTTGTCCATCCATTATTTAATGGATAGTATTTTTCTTGTTCAATGTTCATCCACATTTACCCTTTTCAGGACCACCCAGCTGTGCCAGAGGAGCTGGACCTTGTTGAAGAGGATGACCAGTTTACCCACCTGACCATGTTGGATGAGGCAGTGAATGGAGAGGAGATGCTGAGTAAGTGAATGGTCGAGTGAAATAGTTGAAAGGCATCCGATGTGGAAAAATAAAATAGTGATGATTGTAAAAAGTAGGAATTAAAACATTGCAGAAAATTAAGAAATGATGGTTGTAAAAACTAGTGCAGGCATAAAAATAGTTTGTTTTTTTTAAATATGAAAATGTCAGCTTACTTTTCTACTGTTGGTTTACTCATTTTAGTTGAACATTGTTGACAGTAAGTTGAATGATGCTGTATAAGTATGTTAAGTATATGTAACAGATGACAGTTCAAAAGTTTTGACTTATTCATCATAATGTAAGCAGGAAGCCATTCACCTGTTTCTAATGATTTATGTGTTCAGATTAATAAAGATTGCAGAGTGCATTCAGAATTAATCTGATTAGTTACTGTGGTCAGTTTGATATGTACTAAATGTGTTTTTTTTTCTTTTCAGATGTATTTAAGAATGACCCAGAATATTTGGAAAATGAAGAAAAATATAAAACAATCAAAAGAGGTAACTTCAGTGATTCATCACATAATACATGTGTATTTTCTCAAGCAAATGTTTTATTTTTTTTAAAGGTATTTATATTTTAAATATTTACCGCATGTTTATGGAAAGTAGGGAAATTTGCATCAGTGGATTTTTTTGAAAATGTTTTGTTGCAAAGAATTATGAGGTGCATCAAGTGTGATGCAATGTTGATAATTCATCTAGAACTTGTTGAAGTTTAACAGTGAGCTTTTCAGTGGTTTTCAGATTATGCTTGTTTCTTTGCTTCAGGTATTCTTGATGAAAGCAGTTCTGATGAGGAAGGTTCTGGCAGTGGAAGTAGCTCTTCTGATGACAGTGATGATGAGGAGGATGAGGAAGGTAAGATGAGGTAGTGTGTGTGTGTGTGTGCGTGCCTGTGTGTGTGCATGTGCGCGCGCGCGTGCGTGTGTGTGTTTGTGTGTATGTTCTTAAATTTTCCCTCATCCCCACTGTATCTTTGAAATGGTGTCCAACTCTTAGTTCAACTGGAACATTTTATGAAAACTAATTTCTTATTTTTTGCACTTTCTTCAGGAAGGAGTTGCAATGTGAACTCTCTCATCCCTGTTTTTCTTCACCTTTTGAACCCACATAATTGTTATGGGATATAAAATCACATCCTTCTTGATTCTGAGAATGCTATTTACAAAGGAATATTTCAATTGCTTTAGTTAAAGGCATTTTTTTTGAAAATGTAATGTTTCCAGATGCTGAGAAGCAGCAACAGATCATAGATCAGACAGAGACCAACATGATAGCGTTCCGCCGCACTGTCTACCTGACCTTGCAATCCAGTCTGGACTTTGAAGAATGTGCACACAAGCTGCTCAAGATGGAGATCAAGCCTGGTTATGAGGTATCTGTGTGCCTTGTTTCACTGAGACTTATCAAGGTTTTTGATTTTTGTGGAAAGATGTCTTTGAAATTTGTGTTAGATCATAAACAGTGTGTCAACAAGAAAATTGTGTTTCTTTTGTGATTTATGTTAGTAAGATTGGTAATTATGTTTTAAATGAAGGATTGAGTGTTAGGTTCTAAATTGATTTTGGGTTTGATTTGCTTGTTTAGTAAGTGCATCTGTCAAAATATATTTACATAGTCATTAAGACATTACATGGAAAATTGTGATTTAAGAAAGTGTCTGATGGAGTAGTGTTTTAACATTACAGAAAGAACTGTGCAACATGATCCTGGATTGCTGTGCACAGCTGAGAACATATGAGAAATTCTATGGACTTCTTGCACAGGTGAGTTGATTGGTAAAACAGAGTATCGTAGATCAAATAAATAATACACAGGATGACATATCTGTTTGTCTTCTTGTTCCTTTTATGCTTCGTCCAGTTTTCAAAGCATGATTTCCATTTTGTTTCATTTCCAGAGATTCTGCATGCTGGACCGCAAGTACATAGAACCCTACCAGGATATCTTTGAAGAGCAGTATACAGCTATTCACCGCCTGGAGACCAACAAGTTAAGAAATGTCGCCAAATTTTTTGCACACTTGCTATTCACAGATGCAATACCTTGGACAGTAAGTGCTCATCTATGTTGTGTTCAGATTTGACATGTACTTATGATATTGATCTTAATAATATGGTAATGCATAATTTGATAATACAAGTATATAATGTGCACTTATAAAAGGTATAACGAGAGAACTTCTTTGTACACATAGTGATTTTAAAATGGGATTTAATTTGAATTGGGTTATAGGAAAAAATACATGAGTTATTTGCAAAGGGTTTTTGCAAAATTTTGGTTAAGTTATTCAGCACTAATTATAAATACTGTATCTCTTTGCTTTGTATTCTAGGTTCTTCAAATTATCAAATTGAATGAAGATGACACCACCTCATCCAGTCGTATCTTCATCAAGATCTTATTTCAGGAGTTGTGTGAATATATGGGATTGGCCAAGCTCAATGACAGGCTTAAAGACCCGTATGTACAAATTATTTGTAATATCATTCAAAAGATTTAAACAATTTTGGTTCCAATTTCTGAAGTTTTGAAGTATCCCCCTTGTTTAATTAAGCAAGCTGTCCAGTAATGCCTGAATCTGAATGAGCTGAATGGCCATTGGATTTATGCCAAAGTCTGATTTGCGTATCAACAAAAAATAGACCATCTAAACTTTAGTCTAATGAAAGAGGGGTTTGTGAGCAGTTTCCTATTTGCAGAAAGGGGTGTAGAGATTTTTGGGAAAAAAAGTTTACTCGTTCAAGACTAGTCAATATTAAGGTTGATAAATTTTTGGGCTTGAAGAGATTAATTTGGTCTAATAACTTTTGAGTAATAGCAAGCTTGTTAATTAAAAAAGTGTTTCTTATGCTGCTCATGTATTATATCATTGATATTTTAAAATTTATGTTCTTATTATGTTGGACGTTGAATTTTTATACAAATTAAATATTTGAGTAAGGTATTAGTTCAATCATTTTTCACTGTATTTTAGGACCCTACAAGAGTTCTTTGAAGGTCTTTTCCCAAGGGATAACCCTAGAAATGCAAGATTTGCCATCAATTTCTTCACATCCATAGGCCTAGGGGGACTTACGTAAGTTCTGTTTTATTAATTAATTAGTTTTTTAGTGATTGTTTTTTTTTATATATCAAAGATTACTTAGAACAGGGATTTTTCGATGTTTTTGTATAATTCTCTAGTATAATATCCTCAGTTAAAAAAAGTAGTTTCTATGAAATTTTTAATAAATTGGCTAAACAAAAGAATTTTCATAAAGTTGAAAAATTTGCACAAGATAGATTGCCAATGGTTTACATTAATTTGATTTTGTTTAAAAATAACTTTAGAATGTGATTTATATCACTTTAAATGAATCAATCTATTTCCTTTATATCTTACACTATCAGTTAACCAAACTTGAAGATATTTTGGGTATTTTTCTCCTAGGGATGAGTTGAGGGAACACTTAAAGAACATGCCAAAGGTGACCATGTTACAACAGCCCCAGCAAGCTGAGGGGGCTGAAGGAGACCAGAGCAGCAGCAGCAGCAGCAGTGATAGTAGTAGCTCTGACAGCTCCAGCGGAGAGAGTTCCAGCGATGACTCCAGTTCAGACAGCTCAGATGATGAAGACTCTAGTAGTTCTAGTAGCAGTTCAGATTCCTCAGGTATGTGATCTAATCCCTTTAAATGCCCTCATCTTTTTGTCATACAGTGAACTCATTTTAGAAACATTCCTGAAGGGTAAGCTTTTATGTATACTTCACATTTTTCCTCAAGAAAATGCAACAAGGATTGCTTAAAAAATATTTGTATTCATCTTGGGTCACTGTTTAATTAGTCTTCTACCTACAGCATAGAGATTAACAAGTAGTTTCCAAAGCAGGCATTTAATTATTGCTTTTATTTCCAGATTCAGAATCTGAAACTGAGGCAAGAAAGCGAAATAAGAAAAAGACCACTAAGAAAGTTGTAGAAGATAAACTTACTGAAAGAAGAAAGAAGCACAGGGAAGAGGAAGAAGAACCAAAGCATAGAAGAAATCGCAAGGAGGAAGAGGATGACAGACCAAATAAGCGAGACAGAGGCAGAAATCAGGAAGAAGATGGCAATAGGAAAACTGAAAGACGAAAAAGAAGGGCAGAAGGGGAACAAAATGGGAATGAACTTCTTCGCCAAAGGAGAGAGGAAAATGGGGAAAGATCTTCTGATCGTAGGCGAAGAGAAGAAAATGGGGATGATGACAGACCACGCAGAATGAGAGAAGAGCGTGAAGAGGAAAGTGAAGAACCCAATCGTAGTAAGCGGAGGGCAGAAAAAAGGGAAAATTCTGTAGAAAGAGATCCTAGAAATGAACGTAGAAGAGCAGATAGACATGATGGAGAAAATGAAGTAAGAAAAGAACGCAGTTCAGGTAGAAACAAAGAAAGAGGCCAAAATAAAACAAGAGATCGTGATAGTGTTGAAAGTGATGATCGTGAAAAAACACGTGATAAAATGAGGACTAAGGAAAGAGAACGTTCAGAACGGGAAAGAGATGGAGATACAAGACGTGAAAGACATGAACGCAATAGGCAACGAAGATCAGAATCTGAAGAAGATAACCGCAGCAGGCGTAGACGATAGCAAAAATGTGCTGTTGGCGCCACTCTGACTTTGACTCTGTGATACTTAAATCTGACATTTACCAGGTTGCTCGAATTTTGGTAATTTTTGAACCTACACCTCTGAAAACTGACCATCAATTGTTTTGAATGATACAAGGGGGTGATAGGGCAAGTGGTAAAGAAGACAGTAAATTGCACTCCATTTATTAAGAAGTATCCAGCTAGAACATATTGTAAACCTGGATTATCTGTTATCGGTAGTCATTTCAATGTTTTTCTGTTTGTGAATGCATTTTTCCAGTCTGCAAGTCAATATCAGATGATAATCTTGATAATGGGGTGACATATAATTATGTTTAAATCCTACAAATAAATGAAAAAGTTCAAAGATATTGCATCCACTTTCGATATTTTTGTCTCAATTTATTTCGTCTCTTTTTAGGATACCAAACCTTTATTACACAAAATAATGACCCCATAGTGCCAAAGCTTTCGATAATAATGATCAGTAAGTACAATGAAAATGCCTTTTACTGCATGAAAAATCATTTTGGAAAGTCCTAGATGATGTCATTTCACTACTGTTAAATAAACTTTTCTGTTTGTCCTTTGTCAAATTCATAGATTGATTCAATACCATTATTGCATTAAAATTTCCTCCCTTTCAAATATCCAGTAACCTACAGCACCTTTGGTTCTATTTTCACTTTAATGAACTGTATATGCACTTGTATTGTTTTGCAATCCCTAATTATCATAGCATTTCTTGATTGCAGTAGGACATTAAAATTCTGTTCAGCAGATGTGGTAACTACGTGATAGCAGATTTACAAAAAAAGTGACAGTGTACTCTATGTAAGTTTGACCCAAATGGTATACATTCACTTCATTTTCATTTGTTCACGTCAGAAATAGGATCTCATTTCCTATCAATTTACCCGCCATTACAGTACTCCCAGTAATGGCACCAAAAGTTTGCAAATTTTAATACCATTGCGGTGGTCATGTAAATATCCATATCCTGACAGTTGGTGTATTTCAGAGTAAGACATTCCACAAAAACCCAAAAAGGTCATTTTACACATACATTTTGTATATCCATCATCTTTGTGTTGTCTTTTTACTTAAGCAGGATCCAGTTCAGTAACACTGGGCAATGAATGTATCCACAGTTTGGGATGAGCAAATTTGTATTAATTTTCTCTGCGTCTTTGAAAGTGATGCATCTTTATTCATGTCTGTAGCATCAAGGAAAAAAAGTTCAGTCTGAAAAATCTGTCACTTAGTCAAAATTCAACTTTCAAATTAAGAAACATATCCAGCATTAAGGAACTTTGAGAAATCCATCCTCTCCAACCTAAATTTTCAATGCAGTCAGAGGTGGAGATTTCCTATTGCTGTAATCACACAAACTCGGTGAAATCTTCATTCACAGAATCCGCTCTCTTATTTTGGTTTGATGTACTCTGCAACTGTAATATCTTGCTCTTGATTCTTTTGATCTGCCTCAGCCTCTCCAGCCAGTTGGATGCATATGGATCCGAGGGATTGGTGTTCTGCCTCATCAAGATTAGTGATGCAAGCTGCAATGTAAAACAATGTCCCATAACCTTAAAATAACATGCCAGAATTGTGTCCTAGCTGATAATACCATGTATTTGAATGCCATTTCCCTCCTTCAGAAACACAAAACAAGTTGAATTATCCTCTCCCTAACCCCCCTCCCTAAAAAAAAGGACAGTTTTCCTTAAAAAAAATAAGCAGTTTTCTCCTACTCTATGTTCTACCTGTTCCTACACTTGGATACAATGTTTCATTTCTTTGCAGGATAGAAAATATGACTATGAGGCATTTTCAAATGTGGATAGTCTACCTTTCATAAAATGATTGATAAAATTATGAGCAGAAATTGGTCATCTGTGTAATTCAACACGCAAGTTTAGCCAATTTAGAAATAAAATAGAAAGATTAATTTATACAGCAAAATACTTAAAGATTAATCCCTGCAAAATTACACAGCCTAGAATGCTTACATTTGCATGCAGTGCCATCTGACGAACAAATACAGACAGGTGATTATCTGATATGATTTTGGTGTCCTGATGTCCAATAATTGGTGCAATATCTGAAAGGAGGACAAGATTCTCCTATTGACAAATTGTAAATTTTTGGACCATTTTAAAGTAAATAAAAAGTAAATCTTTTCTAAAGACACTGAACATGATTTCTACCTATGAGGCATGACATTACAACCCTTCATTGCGCAAAAAAACAAACAAACGTTAAAAAACTAGTCTCTTTAGAAGTAATTTTTTTTTTTGGTATCATTACACAAGGGACAGAACAACCTATTTCACTATTTTTAAGTTATCTTTTTTCAATTAAGACAGAATATGGCATCATAGTTTTGCAGAAATATTCTAGTCAAATAATATACAAATCTTTTAGTATTATTGGAAAAACATACCCTCCTTTGCTCTGACAGTGACTGCATTACTCTCATGATCCAGTGGTTGAATTACTATGTTCACAAAGTTAAATTGGCACTAAAAGAAATAACAAATCTACAAATTTAATAATAATAATAATAATATCAGTATTATTTTAAAATGTTAAAAGGCAAAAAGCCTTAAAGATAAAATAGTGCTAATAAAATTTATTCTTTAAATCCAAATTCTGCATGAAAATACATGGAACCTGAAAAATTTTATAATATAAGAGTAGGATGCCCTTACATAGAAGGGATTTCTAATTTAGCTTCTGTTATCCACACAGCACATATTTCAACATTTACCTTAATTGTCCCAGTCTGGTAATCTTCCCCACTCTCATTGTACACTATGGTAACATAATCATTGCCAATGTGGAGCTTTTTAGCATTGCAGTTTGGGTCAGATTCTTTGTTTGGCATCAGGGTAGCAACATGAAATATCACTGAAAAACAGGTTAGAATCATTTTGACTAAAAAAATTGTAATGAACAGGTTAACAACTGTTGTTTAGAAGATGTGAAATAGCTTTAACAATATCAAGAGGCTTCATCCATTGTAGGTTTCTCCTCCAGAACTAAAAGCATATACATATATAAGTAAGAGCATTGTATGTAATTAGAAACAATATTATTTATGAGTATTCCCCATATTGTCCTTCTTGGACAGTGGACATTGGTTTTTTGTCTTTGGGAAAGGAAGGTGATTTTTTTTTTGTTTTGTTTAATCCTGTTCATGCAGCGTTGAGGCACTCTTCATTTATTTCGTCTAACACACCTCACTACTAAAACAATAAATTCTGAGTATGAGAAAAGGAAGGGATGCTCTCTTTAATCTTTTAAATATGCACTGACTAATACCTTGCATCTGATCCCCATGCCAAGAATAAGCAAAATGTCCATCATTGCCATTTAAGTCGAGTCCTCCCACATACACGTGGTCAGGATTGCAGTCGGACAACCTGAGCAGAGAGCCCAGGCCTCGCAGGAACTCCGCATACCTGGAGGAACCATAGACATTGCGCAGTATGGAGCCTTCATCACCCACCTGAATAGCAATTTACAGCATAAGATCGTTTATCGAATTTTTGAGAAATATTGCAAAGCTGAGTAAAACATTTTTAAAAAAATCAAAAAGTCTAGCAATCAGAACACAAAGAAAGGCTCTTTTACATATATGACAGTTAAAACCCTACAGTTTTTACACATGAAATAAAACACCTTATAAGGGCAAATTTTCTGACAACAAAGCAAAATATGTATGCAACATATAGGAGCACCCACCTGTCCAGGTCCGACATACAACACTGCCAGCTTGTGTGTCTCTTGGGGAGCAATGCGGTCCAGATTCTTCATAGCTCTTTCTATCACCTACATTAACCAAATTTCATGCATATAGGTTGGGTTGATTCTGGGCCATCCCTTAAGGTTAATCTTTTTTTATCCCTCAAATTTCAATATTGTTTAAAATAACTTTTGACTCCAAACCATTCAAAATCCTTAATAGTGATAAACAATCAAAAGAGGATTAAATAAATAGATATTCTTTAGTCAGCCTAGATTTCAAGTAACGCTAAGGAAAAGAATTGGCAAAAGCTATCCATACATCACCTCATTCTGTGGCAGCACCAAAGGTTTCTCTTCTTTACTCGCTCCAAAGAATGCACTGTGGTACAATTGCAGGAACACAAAGCTTGGGTTGATACCATTCTTCACTGCCTCCCTCCCAATGCCCCGCCCAGAGTCTCGTCCACTCTCCAGATTGTCCATAACAGACAGTGTGTGACCCCGCGGCCGGCGGGAAATGACTGGTAAGGCATGTATTTCGTCATTAAAGGAGCTCAAGGTGGTGGAGTCCACAGAAACTTGGGTGTTTAATGCCGAGTGCAGAGTGTGGACGCCATGCTCAGCAGCTGAGAAAGCAGGGGCTGGTGGTTTACCATGTTTGTCCTCACTGTGGAGAATCTCAGAAATGTTGCTTTCACTGTGCATTTTAACTGGATCTGACGGTGGGCTTAGAGTCTGAAACATATAGGATGATAAGATTCAAGATCATTCATTATGTCTTTTTTATGATAAAAGGTTTATTATGCAATGAGAAGCATGTTCATAGCTATCCATATAATGGACTACCCTGTATTTTTCAATCCCTTCTTCAAACTCCACAATAAATTTAGCCTATTTCTCCAAAACTGTGCCAAGTAATTCAAGAAAGCCACAGAAGACTATTGAGGTCCAAATTAGAAAGTGAAAAAAAAACCCTAAAGGACAAAGTTAGCCACCTGTTGTGCCTGTAACTGGCCAGTATTTAGAAACTCTGGAGTGGCCTGGGTAGGAAAGGAGCCCAAGTTTGGGGAAGAACTGGTCCTCCTCACTGTGACTCTCTTCACAGGACCTCCACCAGAAACTGGCCCATCCTTGTCTGAAGATCCCCATGATACATCTGGTGATATCACCTCCGCTGCTGTATAATGAAAAATAATGTATGTCTGACATTGCTACATTTTTTCACTGCACCATATGTATGTGACAACTCCATATATTGTCATTGTAACAAAGTTGAGTGTTAATTGTTGCAACAGAAATAAGAGAATTCGGCTTTTTTTAGAATGACTCTTAGTGATACTTATAACATCAGTCACTGTAACCCATTCACTACCACTACTACTACATGTGTACTACTACTACTACTTACTAAGTTACTATTCCAAATAATAATAAAAGGAAATGAAATATAATCAGAACACTTACATGTACCTGCTTCTTCTCTCTTCGTTACACTTGTTGTGTCCCTGCTGTCCTGTTTGGTGATCTCTGTTTCTCTCAATCCTGCTATCTCCAGTGTAACACCAGACATGTCTTGCACATCTAAAAACAACAGACAAAATCCACAAACTCTAAACTGACACCTTTTCAAAGCAAAATGTCATTGTATGAAGCTGGCGGTAAAACAATGGTGTGAAATATTCCATAAAAAACATATTTTTCTCGATATGTCCACTGAAAACTTCACCTTTGTTCTTTTCACTCAAATCACTGCAAATACATGGGCTTTTTTTTTTCATTTTTTTTTTCAATTTTCTTCAGGCTCTAACCAGTTCATTGCTCTCTCTCTTTACCACAGACCTCTGCATATAATCATGAAACATTTTTGTAACTGGTGCAGGTTAAAATTTTTCGGACAAGACATTAGTACAACTTTATTTTGAAATCAAAAATTGTCCCCTTTGCTTCAAAAGTACAAAAGCAATTGATGAAAAGGCTCTAGTACAGTATCTTCAAAGGGGTATCTTCAAAGTATCAAAAAATCACACACAACATTGTTTATTTTTCTATATAATTTTAAATAACATGTTTTGAAAAACACAAAGAACATCAAATAACACTTACCAAGGACCAGCTCAGGTTGAGCAGAGTCAGCTACTGAACCATCTGTCGTAATTGGTGGTTTTTCATCAAAGCTTGGAAAATGCTGCTCATACAAACTCTCATATTCATTTTCACCCAGACTCTCACTGTCTATTCTCCCAATGCTGTCGGCGTCAAATGCCTTCTCAGCATTGTACATGAAAAGTGTGCCGATGTCTGCAAGAGGGAAATCTTGGCCAGAAGATGTGAACAGTAAAGATTCATTTTCCAGACGCATTATCCACGAGATGTTACCGCTGGGTCTGCGAATGTAGACTTCAGCCCAGCCCTGACACCAGCAGCTACACACATGGGGACTGACTGAGGATTTATGCTTTAAACCTAGGACAGATGGAAAAAAACAAAACAAAAACAATTGAACATTAATTCATTATTGGAAGTTTGTTTAAATGCCTACTATAGCACTATACCTAGAATCTAACACCGAGATTTTATTTATCAAATTGGTTTTTGTGTGATCAAACTTTAATTTGTCAACTTTTTAGTTAGTTTAATAAGGAAGTATGTCCTGTAGCACTGGTAATTCAACCTTTGTAAAAATTGGAACAATTTGTCACAATGATTCCTTCTGCATTTTCTATCTAGACAAACACAAAGGTTTGGTTTTGCAATATTTCTAATTTACCTTGCACCAAACTATCCATAGTCTGGGTCCCCTCTGTCCCTAAAGACTTCCCTATATTTGTATCACTTTCCAGTCTCTCCTCCTTGCCACCGACAGCAGCGCCACCTGTCTCCCTTTCCTCTGGGGATGACCCATGCTTGTGAAGCTGAATGTCATCCACGCTCTGTTGTCGTAGGGCTTCTCGTGGACGTGGGCTGACGTAAGCAGATTTATGCCGTCTCCTCATTGATGAAGCGCCATCTGTCTTCAATTTCTCTTCACTGGCACTCAAGGAGAAGGGGTCCTCATGGGTGTCATTTTTGTTGCCCATGCCAGTTTTACAAAGAGCTGTGCACTTATCACACAGACCACTCTTGCCCAGCTTATTGCCTCCCCCACTGGTAGTTATGGTGATTATTCTGTTTCCTAGTAACCAGCTCTGACTCTGGCCTCCAGCTAGCAGGAATTCTGTCACTGAAGTCCTAGGGATAGGAGGGAAATACTTACTTAAGAGATATCATCATGTTTCATCACATTTTTAATTTACTCTGAATGCAAATGCTATAACTGCAACATGTAAAGAAACCTTCGTAATGGGAATCAAATTTATATAATTTTCCTCCAATTCCGTAACAACAGACAAGACATACATCGAAAATGCCAATGTAAAAAAGAAAAAAAGAAAAAAATGCATAACATTAAGAAATATATTCCAATCAAGCTGTTTTTCCATTCTGAGCTGTATTTAAGTCCTAAGAATTGTTAGTTAGAGAATAAGTAACATGTTTATTCTCTAAATATAGTGTTTATGGTGGCAGTGCAGAAAATAGGGTTTTGTCAATTTTGATGCAATATTACGTAATGATTACAACAAAATCACCACCAATTTTTATTTACAGATGTTTAGTCACACAGTTTTCCATGAAATGCATTAATGGTGAAAAGTACAGACACACTGAGGAAAAAAAAAGAATGTGCCATGTGAGCCATGTGAAAACAATAAAATGTCAATACCTCTGAGAATTTTGTAACAAGATTATTCAAATTGATAATAAATGCTTCCTTATAACCTGCTTTTACACACCTGTCTAAATATTCAGGAAAAAAGTAAGACAGCTTGTTAGCAGCAAGGTTAAACAGGGTTAAGGGACATAAGAACTAAGGAAAAGTGCCATACCATTGTTGAGATGATATCAGAATGGTGTTTCAGTCATACATTTTTCCATGAAATGCATTAACGGTGAAATGTACAGACACACTGAGAAAAAAAGAAACATGCAATTGGAGCTGTGTGAAAACAATAAAAACCCCAACACCTTCTCTTAGAATTTTTGTAATGCTTCCTTATAGCCTGTTTTTGCAGACCTGTCTTTTAATATTCAGGAAAACAGTCTGACAGCTTGTTAGCAGCCAGATTAAATAGGATAAAGGGAAATAGGAAATGAGAAAAAGTGCAATATACTTGTTGAGATGATATCAGAAAATGTCTAAGTCACAGTTTTCCATGAAATGCATTAACGGTGAAAAATACAGACACGCTGAAGAAAAAAAACATGCAACGTGAACCATGTGAATAAAAGAGCCAACACTTTTTCTTAGAATTTTGTAACGAATTATTCAAATTGATAACCAATGCTTCCTAGTAACCTGCTATTCAGGAAAAAAGTAAGACAGCTTGTTAGCAGCAAGGGCAAACAGGGTAAAGGGAAATAGGAACTGAGAAAAAGTGCAATATACTTGTTGAGATTATATCAGAATGAAAAATAATCTGATCAGGTTGGTTTTCATACTCTGTGTTTTAGTCTTTAGAATCATTCTTGTAATACATTTTGTGTGTGTGTGTGTGTGTGTGTGTGTGCATAACTGCCACCAATTCTAATTATATTTAATATGGGTAACATGGATATTCAGAAATGTAAACAGCAAAGGACTTCAGGTCTTATGGATTTCAAAGTTTCACATTAGAAAAGTCAATATGAAAATAATGAACATTTCACTAAAAACTGCAAAACTTGAAGAAAAAAATTTAATCAGGCTGATTTTTCCAACTAAAGCTGTATTTCAATCTTTAAAATCATTTTTGAACGTTTGAAGATAGTAAGTAATGTGGTTTTCTTTTCAAACAAGAATAAGTGGTAGTGCAAAAAAAAAAAAAAAGAGTTTACCAAAATATTTAATAACCATCAATGTTTAACAATATGCTATACGTTACATAGACATTCACAAAATGTGACTGGGATAGGGCTTCAGGCCCATGGGATCTCAAAGCCAAATTTGAAAATGTCCAAATTTGAAAAATGAACATTTCACAAAAATTTGCATAACTTGAACGTACGAGGTCGGTAAGTAACACAGCTTTCCTTTCATACTGCTTAATGTGCCAGTTCACAAAGAAGGGTTTTAATGCAAAATATCATACTGCTTAACAGACTAATCACCACTTTTATTATATTTACTACAGGCAATATGAATATTCTGACACACTGTGTCTGAACATAAAATTTCTATTGTTCTTATCTTAGATATCTTACTCTTTGTCATATTGAAAAGACAAAAATTATTTTGTAGACAACGTTAATACTAATTAACACTGTGTCATAAATTAAAGAGCAAAATGCATGTGTGTACCTGTTTGAAAGGACAGTTTATCATAAAACAAACATGGAGGGGTCCTTTACCTTTTAGGCATAGATGTCACAGTGGCAAAGGTGTACCTGGCCAAGACATCAATACACGTCTCAATCAACTCCTGGTGAAAGGCGGACAAACTTTCATCTACACCTGGTTTGGAGTCTGTGAAGGATGCTGGGGCCTCACGACTTTTAACTTCTTTTAATTTCTCTTCCTCCCCTTTAGATCTCCTTCTGAATATAGCAAAAATATTCAAAATACAAATCAGCTCTGTCCATTCATGAAAATGTAGTGTCTGTATATAAACTATGAATGATCACTTATCTTATCATGCACTAATACAAAAAGTAGTAAATTCTTACTTGAAGAAATGAATAACATGGTGAAAAAGACCTCTAAAATACTCTTCATTCATTCATTCATTCTCTTATTTTATTTCTTCAATAAGCATGCTAATTCAAACTGAACAATTTTTAGTCATTTCAATCCTCTCTCACTTTCTCATGGCAGTCCCGATGGTGTTGGATCTCTGCCTAAAGCTCGGCTCTTCTGCCACAGACTGCATCTTCTGCACCGTGCTGTCCCTCAGCTGTCTCAGCACATTGGCATGGAGGCCCTGGGAGACAAGGAATGGGCACATGATCGCACTCTTAAGTTGTACTTATTTCAAGAAATTAAAATGCACATCTGTTACGGCTCAACCCTGTTATGAATATATTATGCCTTAGAAAAAATGGCAAATTAAATTTGCTTTTGTTTCTCTACCCCATCTTTTTATGCTCATCTGTTTTCCACAATTATAAAAGAATCTACCTTTATCATGTGTCGTCTGAGGAGAGAATTAGAAAGATGCCTATAGTCACATTGCACATAATAACTGTATTTTCTCTTGTTTAAACCACTATAAAATCATTTATCTAGGTACTATCTTTTTGACCCTACGAAATTTTAATCCATGTATTTTTTGATGATATCTAATGATGTATGTATCCTTTTTTTTTTTTTTTGAGGGGGGGGGGCATTATCTTTGAAAGCAGAGCAGTCTTACCCTATTAATGAAGCTGACCATGTCTTTTCTGAATGTCAGGCGACATTTGAGGAACCACTTGACAATAACCCTGTAGGCCAGGGAGACAGCATAGTGACTGAATCTGAACAGAAAATCACAAGTAACAATTTAAAAAGTTACCTGCTTCTTTTTAACTCTCTGTAACATATAAGAACCATTTTCAACATTATTTATTCTCATTCATGTCAGTGTAAATTTCTTGTCAGTGTAAATCTATTTTAAGTTTAACATATCTTTTTGTGTTTCGAATTTAATCTGTGAAAAAGGATAAAATATAAAACTCATATTAACTTCACTACAGACATATGCACAAAAAATTATTAATTAAAGAATCTGAATTTTAAAGGTGGGCTGCCCCTCATGTACGCACTTAAAAGGATTGGTGTACGGCAAGGCTATGGCAAAGACACTGCGGTAATGATCCTCCACAAAATTACTGTACAACTTTGGAATGTTGATCAAATCTGAAACAAATAAATAATGTTATTCATCATAATCATGCAAATAATGACTGGTTTTGTAAACAAAAGTTGTATCTGTCAGTTTACATATGTTGTAAAATGAAGTAAGTATTTTAAGAAGACAGATGAGCGCTGGTATTTTATAAATTATCATCACTGTGATCAGGCCTCACTTGTAAATCCCAAAATCTGTCAATCAAGTATGAAGTAATAACTATATAAAAATCTAAATACTGCATCCCTAACATAAAACATGAGCAGACACTATCCACAATAATTCCGCTTCAAGAGAAAAATTCACAAATCAAATGAATATTACAGAGATTTCACATAAAGACACAACAACAAAAAAGAAAATTATAATCTCTTACTTGACAGAAACTCCAACATAGGCGCTGCCATGGCAACTGTTGCCGAGATCTGTGAAAATTTCACCAACACAGAAGGCATCTCCCTCATCATCACCTCCTGCATCTCCATGGTACAGAGGATCAAAGCAGACACACAGATCTTGGCACACTTTGGAGACACCAGACCAAACTCTAGACAATGGATGAGGTCCCACTAAAATTGAGAACAATTGGTGACACTTTGATTCCCTATCTGCAAACTGTGATGTTACCCACTAGGGTGATTGATTAAAATTATGACTTTGGACTATAGTTCAAAAAAAAAAACTGGATTTTTCAAAGATGTTGGTCCAATCAGACGAGTGAATTACTCATAACTGTTGTAATTTAATTTACAATTTGTAGTTTTCATTTTCAGAGGAGTAAAAAAATTCATTTGGACTAGGTCTTTTTGTCAGAGTGACCAGTGAACTGATTTGAATACAGTGCATGTATTAGATGTCTTAAATACATTGAGGCAGTTGACTGTAGCAAATACTACAAATTTTAAAAAAAGTACTGATCACTGTCTTTCTCAATGCTGATACCCTTGTGTTTTTTTAATTGATGGAATTGCACACATAACTGACTTATCTACACTACATTAACAACAGAAAAACAACTGTGTCCATTATCACATTTGTCCAAATTTGCAAAATATAAACTAAAACAAATATGTTCTCTCACAAGCAATAAATTCTGAACAATAGTGTCCATACAATCAACAGTATACATATTACACAAGATGTTTACCTGTCTCTGTTTATCCAATACACAATGGTAGGTCACCAAGCTTGCCAGAACTGGGAAGATATAGGAGTGGAACTCTGATTTGGAGAACTTTTGCGGAGTCTCTCGCAGCTTCTCTGGGAGGCCAAGGTTACGATCGCTCACCATAGCACACAGTTTCCGGCTCATGCTTTCAACATAATCACTTGCAGCAAGCACTAGGGTTTTGTTTTGAAGGAGCAGGCAGAGACCTTCTAGGACTACCCTCAGGACCCTCCAATCTTTTTCCTGTCATATTAAAATGGTAAAAAAAGTCAACTGTGTCTAAAGAGACTTTTTATTACCTATGAGGTATGAAGTTTCAATCCTTTGTCAAAAACAANCATTTGGACTAGGTCCTTTTTTGTCAGAGTGACCAGTGAACTGATTTGAATACAGTGCATGTATTAGATGTCTTAAATACATTGAGGCAGTTGACTGTAGCAAATACTACAAATTTTAAAAAAGTACTGATCACTGTCTTTCTCAATGCTGATACCCTTGTGTTTTTTAATTGATGGAATTGCACACATAACTGACTTATCTACACTACATTAACAACAGAAAAACAACTGTGTCCATTATCACATTTGTCCAAATTTGCAAAATATAAACTAAAACAAATATGTTCTCTCACAAGCAATAAATTCTGAACAATAGTGTCCATACAATCAACAGTATACATATTACACAAGATGTTTACCTGTCTCTGTTTATCCAATACACAATGGTAGGTCACCAAGCTTGCCAGAACTGGGAAGATATAGGAGTGGAACTCTGATTTGGAGAACTTTTGCGGAGTCTCTCGCAGCTTCTCTGGGAGGCCAAGGTTACGATCGCTCACCATAGCACACAGTTTCCGGCTCATGCTTTCAACATAATCACTTGCAGCAAGCACTAGGGTTTTGTTTTGAAGGAGCAGGCAGAGACCTTCTAGGACTACCCTCAGGACCCTCCAATCTTTTTCCTGTCATATTAAAATGGTAAAAAAAGTCAACTGTGTCTAAAGAGACTTTTTATTACCTATGAGGTATGAAGTTTCAATCCTTTGTCAAAAACAATCACAGGTTTAATCTCTTTTAAGAAGATCGACTTCCTTTACATGTCTACACAAGAGGTGATGCAAAACCTATTTCACCAAAACAAAATGGTCAACTTTGCTGATATCTTGACGCAAGTGTCACTCTCTCACAGTCAGGTAAAAAGTACAAATCTGGAAAAATTGTTTTCAATCCACACACCAGATTACACATGAAAAAAATAAAACATCCAGAAATACTTACAAACTCCAGGCAACAGTTGAACATTGAGAAGGCCTGTGTATACTGCAGCACTGTGGAATTAAAGGGGGCAATAACAGGGGAAGGTGCCGCACTGCTGGCAGGACTCACTCTACTGTTTCTGCGTTCAGACACATCTCTACAGACATATAGGAAAACCAATCTCATTAATCTTTAATTTTTTAAAATCTTTTTTCAATGAATACTATATACTTCAGAACATCTGGCAATCATTTTATACTACACATTGGCATTCAAACTCTACCTTGGACCTAAATATAGAAGGACNGACTCTACTGAGATAAAATGAAAGACATTTTATTTCTTAGTTCAGGTTTATGAAAACAATATGCCTTGAAAAATGGTCAACAAAATTTGCTTTTGTTTTTCTACCTCATCTTTTTATGCTCATCAGAGTAGCTTTACCATCTGTAATCTGAGGAGAGAATTAGAAAAGATACCTGTAGTCACACTGCATAAAATAACTGTATTTTCTCTTGTTTTGTGTAAAGGGCTCTATCAATCCAAGGCGATGGAGGGCATCAGCTCTAAGGCTAAGGAAGCACTGAAAAATCTGAAATTTGAGGCATAAATCTAAAAGATATTATAAAGCACTATGCTTCTAGTGTCAATAATTTGAATAAACCCTTCAGTACTGTAACTTTTAACAAATAATGTATGTCAGAATCTATATGACAATTTAGATGTTATATATAAATTCTGAAAAATGTAACATCCGTACCATGAGTCTTATTGCAGTGGAGGACTCAGTGTTGAAGTTTTGGCTGTAGTGGTCTTGCAGGTGACTGATCAGCAGCTCATATGCCTTTACTGCATGACTGGAGGGGAGGCTGAACATCTTTGTCTATAAGAAACAAAATAATGTAATGACCGGTTTCATATGACACTGACTGTGGCTGATCAAGATATATCATAGTGGAATTTACATTTTAAATAATATATTTTAATCAAATAGCCATACTTATTCTATCAAGCTGCAGGGAAAGATGTGTGAACAAATTATGGTGATTCTGTCATCTGCCATCACTTTCACTATGCACATCTGAAATGTGTGACTGAAGTTTTCCTTGAAGCAAAGAACTATTATTATAATAGTATGATTCTAAAAGATGTTCCCTTTTTTTCACACTCCTTTTACCTTTTTTCACACTCCTTCTACCTATAATAAAACACCTATCTTTTCGGATATTTAGATATTTACCTTAAATATATCCACCAATCCAAAAACAGCTGTTTTGATGTCTTCTGGACAGCAATCCTCTCTCATGCACAGCCCTTCAGACTCCTTGGCAAGTGATGAAGAAGATATGGTCTTCTGTCGGGGTCTCTGGACAACCTAGTGCAATCACAAAAGATAGTTTAGATAGAATGTTTTAAAGAGCATGTTAAAATGTTAAAATTCTAAAATCTGTTAACATATTAACTTTGTATTAACCATTCCTTCACTGACTCACTTTAATAAAGTTCTCTTTTTTTTTTTTAGTGAAATAGGTTTTTCATTGTCTATTGTGTAATGATGACAGAAAAGGTAAACATAGAAGAGTCAGCCATGATTGAGTCAGTAGTGTGATCAAGAACCTTTGATGAAGGGACAAAATGTCAAACCTCATCGTAAGAAAACATGATCTGTCTCTTTACAACCTAGTTTCTTTTTCATCACATTTTTAAATGATCGAGATCCCTCGTTCCTCACCTTTTCTATTAGGGCCAAAATCTCCATACACCTGGGGGAGGAGCAACCCAGAGCCAGGTTAACTAGAAGCTGTGTGGCTAGTACTCGCACTTCAGGGTCACTGTCAGATTCAATGTGGCCCAGGTGAGGCAGCACTGCTTCTTTCACCAGATCATCCTAAAATGTAATAACTTGTAAATGTACTTTGCAAATATTTTACACTGGTGTTTCTACTGTATATAATACCATTACAGAGTGCTCATAAGCTACAGGTCATCTAAATCTTGGTATTGACATAACATGAACTGTTAGTTGGGAGAAATAGGCAAATGTCCAGTATATTTTAAAGAATGGGATCAATCCATAAGAAAATCAAATACAGACAAGGACAATTTTGACAGGAAATATTACAAAACAAGGATTGGAAGGTTTCTGCCTAAAATTTAAAAAAATTATGAATAGTTAAATATTAATAACATACCTCATAAAGCTGTTTGTTCTTACTGATAATATCTGCCAGAACATCCAGGGCCTTCAGTCGTATCTTGGTTCTGGTGTCCTGTCTGTAGCAAAAAATACAAAATTAAGTAAAAAAAAATCATTATTATGTACTTAACTTCAGTATCTCTGAACTAAACTGCAGTGATTAAAATTTTATTTTACTTTAATCAGACAATTAGAACATATCCAAAGGGATCTAAAGAAACAAGTATTTAGTTATATCAAAACACTGATTCTATCTCCAACCATAATATAAAAATACCATCAGAATGATGCTTGTTTTTTCATCTAATCAACTACCAGAAATCATTCCTTTAAAAGGGAAGGGGCGGCAAAAAGATCTAATTAGCTGGTAAAAACCACTTGGCACTCTTTTCAGGAAAATAGTTCAACATAATATCTCAGAAGTACCTAAAATACTTTTCCATAAGAACATAGATGTTTCTTATCCAGTCTTCTTTGGCAGGGTGAATTGACTGGGCCCTGAACATTATTAGCAATAACACTGAGTGTTCCTGAAATGGAACATATAACAGGTGTGATAATTACTCCAATATAAGTATGAAACTGATCCCAGGACTTGTGGAAGGTCATAATGACATTAGCTTGAAGTGTTTTGAGTCAGATGAAAATCTTGAAAACGTTAATGATAAATGTTTTGACTTCATATTAAAATGACTCCCCAAATATAAAATAATAATCCTAATAATTTTCCTAACTACAACTCACGGGTTGTGAATGTATCATTCATTGTTCAGGTTTGCTTGGTTGAGCACCTTCATTAAAATTGAGAAAAACATCTTTTGCTATCAAATATGATGACTATGAATATAGGAATAAAACCTACACAAAATCAATATAAATTCACAAATCTGACAAATTTCAATAAAAAACATCATATAAGGAAAACACACTGTAATGCTTCAGCAAATATCCAGTTGGCTTTCATGATAAACAAATTAAGACAAAAGCAAAAAATCTTACTGGTCTTTTTGTGGCACATTTCTCAATGATATTAAAGAAAGTTGAGGTTGACCCATGATATTGTTGCTCTTCATACAGGTTCTCTATGGTGGACAGGATGTCATGGAGTTTACTGGTCACTGCAGCCTCGTGAACAATCACAGTCTAAAATGAAGAGAGACAGGATACAATTGTGTGTAGAGGTGAGGTGATATGCATGTAAATTAATGTCACCCTCATAGGCTAAACTACAATGGTTTATTACTGAGGGCAGTATTAAAAAAAACAATAAACAAATGTACTCCTTGTAAATTACTGCATAGTATGTGATCTTGCTATAAAGAAACTAAACTCTCACCATTCATTCAATTTAATCCTATCACGTGAAAACTAGGCATTCCAACCTGATCAACTGTTCTGTAACAGTATACCACCTTCTCTAATTACCTGGGTTAGCTCTAACATGTATTCAAGAATCTCCAGTATAATATCCCATGCCACCAGTTGCAGCTCTTTTCCATACTTCTTTACCAGCCTCTCCAGTGACAGCACCACTTCAAAGGCAACCAGGGCGTGCTTGCACTGCAAGGCCTTGGGAATAAAATCAGGGGAATAATCACTGTATTAAGTACATAATTACCAAATATAATTACCAAAACCGTAATTACTTTAAATTTTTAAACTTCTCACTTAAACGTAATCTTTAACTTTTTCAAGATTTCAAGATTTATCACTTTAAGATACTGACAAAAATGCATTTTCTGACTTTTAGACTACATATTTTCAGCAAAAAAACAATTAAGCACTGCTTTATGGAAAATTACTAATGTATTCTCTTTAAACATATAGAGACACAACTGTATACCTCACTAGTTCATAACACCAGAAAAACTGAAAAACAGTGACTCCATTCACCCTGAGCACAAAGCCATCGAAACATTATGCAAACAAATATCAAGTGCCACAGAAAAAAAAAGTCAGTTTGTTTACCTACCTGTAGAAATGAAGGTAATACAGAGGAAGGGGTGTGCTTAAGTGATGTAACTTTTTTGGATCCCCAAAGTGCCATTCCAACAAAGAAAACAGCTCCCCTCAGAAGACTGACATCGTGAAGGTTTCGACTAAAAGATGGAAGAATATAAGCCTAAAATAACTAGTCACTTTTAATAGTCAAACTTTCACAGGGTAATCTATTGTATCTCCCACATATTTATCAAATGGAGCCATGGGGATTTTCTTCATAATAACTGAGATGTTTCCATCTGGGTAAATGCCCTCAATTAATGAATCACACAAATTGTGGTCAGATATACAGAGTACTGTTCTGATCATCTTCTCCCCAGCAAAAGCCAACAATTCCAAACTTCTGTGTCTTAGACTGCATTCCCATAGATTTAGATCGATCCATCTAGATCGACCTAACTCCCTGGGGGTTTCAAGCTAAATTGATGTCAGCCGAGTGTGCACGGTAGTTATTTACCCCCTTACAGCTTTCAGTAGGCAGGACAGATGCTTAAGCTGGCTAAGCTGACAGTAATCTAGTGAGACCCCCCACAGGGATAGATCGATCTAAAATCTGTGGGAATGGAGTCTTACTTGTCTTGCAGTATGCAGCACATGGTGTATATCCCACTGTGGCCAAGATGGGTGCCCAGCAAGTTCCTCATCAGCTAAAAATCAAAAACATGTGGTGACATAGACTGTAGTACTCCTTTCAAAAAAGCTAGGCATAGGATACAGTGAATTTAAATTGAAAAAAAGGAAATACAGGATCCATAAGAAACCTGCACAGGAAACTACATAACAATAAATAATGGTTAGTAAGTTTTTTAATGTTTTTTAGGTCTTATGCCACCTCCAATAATAATTTGAAACACTGTGACAAAATAGAATGGATGTTGTAAATATCCATTTAGTATGAAAAAAAAAATTTTATTTGATCTGTAAATACTTACACGGAAATATATTCATTGTTTAGATCCTTACTTTTTGACATCTTGTTGATTGTTTCATCTAGGTGTCAATCAATAGCAACATCGCAACTAAATTAAAAAAAAAAAAACTCAAATCCAAACCATCCTGGACATGGTACATATAATTCCCTCCTTACCTTCCAACTTGTTTGGCAGAATTTCTCCACGTTGACAGACCTGCACAGCGCCTCAATGAAGTAGTACAGAGAATCAGATGGCAGAAAACTGTAGCAAACAACAGTGTCTAGTACTTGCAGGCAGAGCTGAAAAAATAAAATAAGCCCCATGGCAGATAAACTTTCAAGGCCTACTAAGTAAAGAAATTTAGATTTTGTGCATGGATATTCAAAACTGAAAATTTCTCAGATATCTTTTTCTCAAAATTTGTCAAAAACATCAATTTCTGAATTCATACTCTTTTCATGTATCAACTAACTAGCCACATTTAAATGTAGTGCTAACATATATGCATAACAACCAAGTGGTTTATGTTAACACTTACATCAATATTCTCTTCTGATTTTGACCTGTTTGCCACCACACATGTATACCTGCATAGCAAAATATGTACAATGCTTATACATGTATAAAATACATAACATCTGTGGTTCTTCTATACCTTATCAATATCTGAGTATAAGTATTCTCTTTTAATTCAAGCAAGCTCCCAACCAACCATTTTAAAGGGTCAAGAAATTATCAAGCACATGGGTTCATGTACAGTAGGACTGCCTTTAGTGTAGTATTTCAAACTAAATGGAGAATTCAAATTGGGAAAAATATGAATTCACTAGATCATTCTGTCTTTACAAACCTGACAAGTCCCGAGACTACATCCTGGTCCAAGTATGCAGCATTGAATTTGATAGCATTAATCAACAGCTGCAGAAATTCAGCCACTTTGGAGAAGGTAATCAGTTCAGGCATCCATTTCAACAGAAAGGGCCCCGTCTCCTCCTCAAAGTAGGTCAAATCCTTCCCATTGTCGCTTAACACGATGAAAAGCTCCAGTCTGAAATAAAATTAAGTTAAATTAAATTAATAAAATTAAGACATCAAATTCAGGCAGCTTGCCAAAACAGATATTTGCAGACACAAATCTGAGTTAATAACTTGTAAGTTTTGATTGAGGTTTGATTCAAATTGTTCTGCCTAAGTTTTACTACAAAATAATTACCCAAGTCTGCAGTAAGGATTTGCAGTAGTCTAACATGACCTACAAAGATTATGACACTTGTTTAATATCCAACAATTCTGTTAAAATCAATTTATCAAAAGAAGACACTGCCTATCTAAAAACAATTTACCTTTCTGCCAAATCTTCTGGGATGGCATGGTTAACAATTACACGAAAGAAGTGGGCACGCATTATCCCCAAGTTTTTATACTGGAAATAAAACAACTGAAAAATTTGCAGACTGCAACAGTAAGCTTCTGATATAATACCTACCAGAAGTTGAATGGCTTAAATCATGTAGAAGAGGTATGAACTAGTATAAAATAATGTTTTTCTGAAGAAAAGTTCTGTAACAGTTAACAGATTTTATAGTTTATTTTAATGTTCATTTACAATCATAGGTCCCATAGCTATATAAGAGTCAAAAAGATCAAAATACCTGATGAAATAACAAAATTAACTGAGATTCTGCAGTTTTCTAAATAATACTAAACCTAAAAAATTCAATCAGTCCTATACAACTTATTATATCACATGTATAAATTTTCATGTTGGCTTTTATTTGTGGATATGAGTGTATACATACCTGTCCTTTAATCAAACAAATGACAAACTTCATGGCAATGTGCCGGTTTTCTGTGGTTACATGGGGCTGTAATAGGTCAGCAATGGTCAACCAGAGAGTTTCAACTGCATTCTGAAACAAAAACACACATTTCACGTGGTGAAGTTCTTAAGTTGTGGGCAATTCAGAAAGAAGTTATACATATTAATTTAAGGTCTTTGTATCAAAAGAACAGTGGTAAGTCTCTCTGCATATATGTATATTGTTGAGTCGGACGTAGAAGTGGAGAGCATTATCAAAAGTTTAGAGTGTAAATTATTCACTTGATATGGATAGGTTGCTAAAATAAAATGGATCATGTTTGAGGTAAAAGTATGTGGAAACCACCCTTACTGGCTCCAGCTCTTTTTCTTGGACCTCTTTGGACAAATCTCTTATCATCTTCATTCTGTTGTTAGCTGGACTCTCTGAACTTATTTCCTTAAATAAAAAAATCCATTAAAGGAAAAAAGTTATCATATTAAATAAGAATCATGTAAGCCATCAAGATGACTTTGGAAATTAACAAGAAGCTTAGTATTCTCTGTTATATATGCATTATCAATTCCTGGATTTATCTTTAAATTATTCAAAAATAGTGTTCAGATACCAGTATGTGAATTCTCTTTAAGCCAAAAATTAATTTCTAATTTGTAATCCTATCTGAAATAATTCATTATCACTTTGCTCTTCTACATGTGTTAATTCCACTAATTTCAAGGAATCTGCTATACCTTGAGGAGTTCTGCAGTGAAAATGAACTCCCTGCTTGGAGGGCGTATTCCAGGTCCATGTCCTGTCCCACTCTTAGAGAAGCCTAAGAAATGTTTTAGTCTGTCCAGCTTGGACTCTTCCGGTTTTCCTGATGCCATGTTATTTCAGGTTCTATCAGGTTGTTGGTACTTGGTAACAGCTGGAAATTAATTCAATATTTTAAATGGTATACAAACCAGCAGTACATAGCATACATGTAGTTTTTAAGATGAAATGGTGTTAAATATGCTGACAGGTTGATGCTCAAAAAACTACACATCTACATGCAGAGCCAAAGTAAAGACAAGTAGGGGCTGATTGAGAGGTAGAAGTCTGGATACAGTGACAGTAAACCTGCAGCTATGATGGCACTATCTTTTTTTTTCTTATTATTATATTTTTTATTTATTTTTTTTTTTTTCTTTTATTTATCATTTTTAAAAGTTTTTATTTGTGGAGAAAAAGAAAACATTTTATTTCAATCATTAATCTTATTTAAGGTTTAAAACCCATACTGGAGTCTACAATTCAATTAGGTAGATCGTAATCCAAGCATTAGCTTTAAAACAACTGGCCCTCGATCATTGGTTTTGAAACAACAACTCGAAGAACCCAAGCAACAGATGTCTTAGCATGGAACATCACGCGATAGCAATGTTATTAACGTTTTTTGACACCCACTGCATGCTAGCAGAATCGTAGTAAAAAAAATCTAACGCATGTTTTCCCCTGCTAAGACAGCCGCCTTTAAGTAACATCAAAGTCAAAATACAGTGACTGAGTAGCTTAGGAGACTACTCTACAGATGAACTTGGCGACAAATAGGGAGCGGCAACTGGTCCATCTAAAATCTCCATTCACGTAAAATAACAGAATCTAAAATAACTTTACCAAACAGGCATATGCATTTTCATGAGACACCTTTTTGCTCGCTTTCCATTTACATCACGGGACTTGACATCCCGCAGACACCATTTTGCGCACTACAACGGAATTACACCTGATGCGCATGAGACATTATAATCTCCAATATTGAAGAACTAAAGTAGTCAAGACACTTCAAAGAGTTTGACTTTGTTTAAACATTTGTACAGCCTTTCGAATTAGAAATGTCGATGTTTTAATTGCAAATTACAAGTTTAAGCAATAAAAAACAGGTGGTGATTAGTTTACGGTGTGATTATTCAATCCGGAGATGGCCCAAGTCGTGTCAAGCCAAAAGATGGAAAACAACACTATTTTCCTGCCTTTTAACTTTATTCTATTTGAAAGCGTCGTAAAACTCAATCAGAATTTAGCAGCTTTAGAACTCGAGTTTATTCATAATATTTTTCGTAAAACAGCCAAAATTCTACATTTTACCAGACACGGGAGGGGGGAGTTGAGGACATAGGCCTATTTCAAGTCGCCTTTCATTCAACTTTTAGCAATTAAAATAACGGCCGAGCACCCAATAATGATTGGACTTGATTAGCTTTTCTAAACCCCTATGCTGTAAGACTCTCTCTCTCTCTCTCCCTCTCTCTCTCTCTCTCTCCTCCTCCTCCTCCTCCTCTGTATACCTAGATGTAGGTCTACTTCAGATAATTGTCAATTTTCCACACACATTTTTTTTACATGGTCACAGTATAGATTCCACTATCTTTAAGGTAGATGTCTCAAATCAAAAGTACAAATCCGATAATCCTCAACTGATGACCTCGTTAAAATTTGTCACATGATCCCGTAGGATGGCAGATGTTGCGCTTGGAGGCTTTGTGAAGGGCATTTTCATTATACCAAAAATAAGGACTGCTTTGGTTTATTATTATTATTATTATTATTATTATTATTATTATTATTATTATAACAATTAACTATTTTTAGATGTAAAGATTTGCCTTGGCGATAACATCCACAATACTGTAATGTGCCATGCCTTTTTTCTAATCAATAATTACTATAACTATCACACAAAACGTTTTACATGTACTTGTACATTTGAATATTTAGCATGCTTGGAAATTTCATTAGTATAACCCATATAGAAATTTGGAGAGTGTTTTATTTTCATGCTAAGAAGTGATGGCTGATCGGTAAAAATAACTTAGCACATTTGTGGCATAGATTTGCGCCGTCACATTAAACTAGGTATTGATATCAGATAAAAATGTACGCTGTCTGTTACAGCAGAGAAGGCTTCAAGAACTTAGAACACAGGCACTTACTTAAACTTGTCTCCTATATAAGGGGGTATATCTGGCGACCTTTCCTCTCCTTGAGATTAGTTCGTGTGCGTCTTTTGCAATATTTTAGTAAAATTCAAGAAAGAGGAAGTCAAGTGTCCTTAAGTTCATCAACAGATCGGTCTCAAGTGGTCCTTAATCTGTTTAAATGCGCCAATCTACAGTTTGCAAGCTTGAGAAAAAGCTTTAAAAGAGAAGCGACTTGATTAAAATAGTGAAGTTGAAAATCTTTTTTTTTTTTCTTCTTTTTTTTATGAGGGAGCATACTTCCAAGACCGCCAGTATTTGGTACATGCAGGGTCCAAAGTTTATAAAGAATATTTTATTTTTTTGGCGATACACACATGGACACTGATAGGCATACGATTCCACAAGCATCATTATAAATAAGAGGACACTAAACTAACCGCTCCAACTTTTTCCGCCCGGTTTTCTTACAAAATGTACTGTATCAGAGCAATTTAAGTGAGAAAAAGTAAATGAGTTAAGAACATTTTTGGCAGTTTTGAATAGGTATTAATTATTTGGGATTGTCAAGTTATCCAACTGTTTTTCAGCCACGTTATGATGAAGTTATTTTAAACAATGGCGAGGTCGGGCTAAGTCAGCGAAACGCAACTGTGTCGGGCGGGCGGCACTATTTCACCAGTAATTTCTAAAGATGAATTCCCTCGCTTTTGCAAGTACTGCAAGAGCTTTAACCATCTTGCAAACGTGGAGTATAATTTTCCATTGCCATTTTAAAACTTAAGCAATTTACTTGTTTTATTATTATTAGATTTATATGTTTAACAAGGTTAAGTGTTTGTTTAGGCTAAAATAACATTTCTGCACATACATCTAATTTTCGAATAACTATTTTTATTAGGCAGTTGTTTTTTTTATCTACACGGATAACAATGTCTGTTATGAAATGCTTACTCCCTTCATGCTACATGTATAACAATATATTCATGTTGTACTCGGTATTCTAATTTTATGATCTCCACAGATGTACGTTTAACATTTATTTTCTTATGCATACGGCGGACATTATTACAGTAAAATATGCTCCTGATATATCGCCATCTTAAATATGATTTATGTTTTACGAATTAAATAATTATTTTGAATGGGTTTCAATATGTTTTAAATTGATACATTTAAATTTCAATTGAGACACTTCACACAATTGGCGTCAAGAGCGACATATCAGACAACTTATCCTTCCAGTTCGACGAAGAGGATACCATATCACGAAGGTGTCATACTTATGAAGCTCCTTGTCCGCTTGCTGAGCACACAATTGGCGTCGCGATTGACATTGTAGATCACGCGTTCTTCCTGCTCGTTAGAGAAGGTGCCATACTTGAAAAACCTTTATCATCCTACTTAGCACACTTTACGTAGACTTAATAATCTCTAGAAGAACCCCAAAACGCCCCAGTCTCTGCTTATTTTGATGCTCTTAATATCTGCTACATGATACTTGACAGATGGCAATAGCCTTCGACGTGAGTTTGGTTAATCATCAAATTTTGGAAATCAGATATAATAATGATCGTGCTACATGAGCGATACAATTTTATGCAAGTATTACGAATTTGTAAATGTTTATTATTTCAAAATTTTATTTTATTTTATTTTATTTTATTTTATTTTATTTGTTCAATGGAGAAATAACTTCTATAGAAATACGTGCAATAACAAATTTGGTCAGAACTCAAAATAATTTTGCATTAAACGTAGGTTGATATCCTTATAGCTGTCTCTTTCAAAAAGTTCCCCTCATTAATTTTAGTACAGAAAGTAACATAACCCGTCCAACCATTACTTGAATCTTTTTCACTCCATCAAAACTTTTAACAGGCTTTAAAAATGGTGTAAAATTAGAAATTAAAATTAAAAATTGAGAAGATAGATCACAAAAGTAAAAATAAAATTAAGGCAACTGAACCTTTCTCAGATTATAACACAGAAATCACTTTAAAATTAAAAATGTCAAAATGATATTAGGGAATGAAAATAATTTGCAAAATTGAATTATATCAGAAGCTGGAAAATGGCACTTTTCTGCTTCCTCAACAGAAGTTAGAACATAAAAATCTTCACGAATGTGACGTTGAGTTTTCTTCGCTGATTCGTACCACATTTCATGTTGAAATATTTTGATAATCACCAATAAAATGTTATTTGTATGTTTGAAATTATTTTTGATTAGTAATTTGGTGTTTTTTGTGGCAATTGGAGCACAGGTGGCGAATTTGAAATCTGAAGGTTAAATTTAGATCTAGCGTTTTCATCTAGGTACTTTTTACACTCTAATCAGTTAGAAAATATTATTTTCCGCTACTGATATTATAAACCCTCTTTAATATATGACAAACATAACGCCGTTTAAGTGTATTTGTGAACGATAAATTAATGTTTGTAGACCTACCGGAAAATAACTCGCCTTTTGGGAGCAGCACCCATGCCTCTAGAATTTTTATGGGTAATTGTCAAATATTTAACAATGACAGTATAACATGAACATGAGAGGACACAGTATACGAAGGGTGCAGGGTAGATAAATGTCGGGCATAAGTATCTTGAGTAGTACGTATAATATACAAAGTATCGCACACATTTAAAGAAAAACAACAGACAATGCACTGATCTTGCACTCTTACCAAACACGTGCATGAGAGATCTCCATACCTCACGGCAAAGACCACTTTCAGGCCCGTAGCCAGCAGATTCAAAAGTGGGTTCTTTTTCTGAAAAAGCGGACCTTTTACAATGAAACTTTTGTGTACCTAGATAAAATTTTACCCAAAATGGACCTTTTCCTGACAAAAGGGGCAGTTCTTTCGAACCCCCCCGAACCCCCCTGGCTACGGGCCTGACTTTGGTTATTCTTGCAGAAAGCTTTATTACATGAACCGCCAATGACTTTTTATCAGTATCATTTGAAAATTGTTGACAACCCG